AAATAGATCAGCGCATTTTTGATAGTGACATAATATGGTTATGTCTCGGAAAACGGTACGGAGTTTACGCGTTTTCACCAATAAATCGACAATTCAGAAACAAAATTTGTGAATTATATGTATCAATGTAATGAAAAATAAACGCATAGGTAGTTTTTGACGAAAGGTCGCATGAATTGCTATTTTAGGCCCAAAAACAAAATTAGAAGTTCTGAAAATTGCTTGCTTCCATACCTGCCCATTTCTACACTTCACCGAAGAATATGAAGTGACCAATATATTCATTTCTAGGTTTTGTATCTTTTTTTTGGAAAATGTATTTTTTCCCGTTATTTGTCCGCTAATTAGATTACATTATTATATTTCTCAAAGGCATACCTTTTTTGAAATTTTGCATTATATGACAACAATGTACATTTACATAGCATTACCCAAGTAATTTGGTACGAGAAAGAGAAACCGCTTGAATTAAATTTTAAAATATAAACATTAAATATATATGAACTTTGTGTTTTCTTGCTACCAGGCACAATCCTGAGTCGGACATTCGCATTTACATATTTCGACATAAATCTTTCCGATTCGAATGCAAATGTAAATTTCAATCAGTTCTCAGAAGTAGTATATATAAATTTTCGTACGGGTAAACGGCAAGAAGTTGTGTCATTATCCAAATCTCAGAGACTTTCCCATGTGTTGTTAAATCTTCCGAGGGTTCTCCGTTAGCCAGGTCAGGGTTAGACTAAAATTTTATTCCAATTTACTAATTTTAGTTATATTACGAGTTCGGGGACAAGCCAATTGACAACGGTAGTATTTTAATATGAAATTATGGCCTAACCTGGTACACATACTACGTTCCGGTGTCCGCCATCTTGGTTCACATACTTCGGTAGTACCAAATCTTGTGCATTATTCGATCGTTTTGTGAAACGCCATAGTCGCATGCGTTCAAATAATTTAAAATTTATTTCGCTCCTCATGTATGTAAAATTGCATTTATAATCTAATTGACGTTTTGTACTGTTTTTGCACTCTGCTCTGCGTCAAAGCATTGAGCAACAAGGTATTATTTTATGGTTCATTCATTTTTATATTTTGTTGCAGGTCCGCGATGGATTAGCAGTCGTTTATAAAGTATTATCAGTGACGTTGTTTCATTTCTTCGCAAAAATTAAATATAGTATTTCATACTCATGATAGAACTTCCGGTGATAAATTACCATTGCAATACATGCGTCAGTAATAACGTTCGTTATATCTTTGTATACGTAAATATGTCGTCTTTTATAGGACTGGTAAAATACTGATATTTTGCGGCATTACTTGAGAGTGTTATCAAATTATATTATTGTCTCAAATCATGTGACGAGCCTCGCGATGGCCCCTTTTTATTTTCAAGTGTATAACACGTGGCTGTATCTCATTTGCTATAGCCAGACATGAGGCATGACTTCAGTTTATGAATTTAGCTTTGTAGGAGTGATTGACGAGACCAATAAATAAAAATCTACCTATTTATAAAACTTAATATCAATTTGAAATCATTTTTTCTTATCACTTCAATTTACGATTACAATATTTAATGACATACCTCTTTCACTTGAAAAATGCGCTTGAAAATTTGTAGTTGTGTCATTCATCTGAATGTCATATTATATATAGACGTAACGAGAAACCGTTTCATTGCGCAAATATGATTCTTCAATTCGAAAGAATTAGGTAACATTTCTCAATGATTTGCGATGTCTTGGGCTGACATCGGAACCGAAGTATTTTGAAAAATAAAATACCGACTGTGCTGTTTGTACAGAATGAACGTATACTAAAATTGTTTTCGCGGTATGAAAAAGGTTGAAAACAAAACAAATTTTAGTTGTTCAATGTTCATTCACATTTTAAATTATAGTAGATAATTCATCACAAAATTAACGGCGGCCATCGTCGAATGAAAGAAATGCGCTGTGTTTCTTACTGGTCTCTGGAGCACGAAGTATGACTGAAAATAATTTGACACTTTGAAATAGTAAGATTGCTTCCAATCATCATAAATTTAAACTTATCTGTGTATTCTAACAGCGTCACTATTTCAATTCTTGGTCCAATGTTTGAAGTATTACAGATTGCTCCATTATTAATTCGGAAGTAAAGAAGAGAATGAAAGAAAAACAGGAAAAAAAACTTTTATGAGATCTCATCTTAGTAAACGTCTTTTGTTGTAGTTTTGCATTCAACTGCGTGACACGCCTCGAAATGATGTATAAAATACAACAAAAATTATTTAGATGTCTCAATACTACAGTATTGCAATACGAAACGGCGACATTTTTTTTTTTTTAGTGGGGTCTATGTGGATACAAGCAGTGGTGGGATTCAGCCGGTTCGCAATGGTTCTATAGAACCGTCACGCGGAATTTTATGAGATCAGCGAACCGGTTAGCATTACTAAAAACTAAAAAAACATGTAACAAAACCGGCCGAAAACATGACTTTTGTGATGGAACCGGCTGACAAAAAATTTGAATTCCACCACCGGATACAAGTACGTGTAGATTTTAGACGAATTCGTGCGCGAATTCGCAACGGATAGAAATCTGAAAAGCGTGATTACTCGGCCTAGACGTCGCCGGTCAATCAACAACATGACACGCCAAACACCCGCGAAAAGATATGGAATAAGGCCAACTATCGGATGTTACATCATTGTAAAAGCTATAATCAGGAAAATATTATCGAACACTATCGTTCGATTGGATTTGCTATTTTCCTACCGCACAAATGGTTGCTTAATGCGACCCACAATTTGGTAACCACTGGCCTACGCGGCCCAGCCACCGTACTGCTTATAGTGATTACCCTGCAAGGAATGGTTTTCTGAAATTCTGCGGACGGTTTTCTGAAATCTTCGTCTGAGTGGTTTAACCGCTGGTAGGTTTCATTAATTTCCTATTTTACCTGGCACGATCACCGAATGAGAGGCCGTGGTTCACCAAACGATTTAACGAACCACCATGACGTGAACTTATTCTACAATGCAAAAATGCTTAAGCAAGATACCAAACGTATCTCATCAATAATATTTTTTTTTTTCGATAGAATACATTCTATATATTAATATCGTCCTGTACAAATTTGACAGCGTGTAAGTTCTCGCGGGCCCCAGGCTTCGAATCCACGATGCAAACAAACCAATAGTGAGATGTCGCATATCAATAGGAATTTGTTCAAAAAGAATTGTTTTAAATCAAGTTTTTTTCTTGTATTGTTCAAAATGGCTGTACTATTTGATTTTTTTGTATTAAATAGGTTGGAGAAAATGGATGTAAAAACATGTCAAGCGCTTGTTATTTGCAACACATCCTTCTAAACGCCACAAATATCGATAAAGGCCCATACACACTTTCTTAAGCTGTAGTTCAGTGCGACCGCAAACGTGGTTGGCGACGTAAGACGTTACCGATAAGCCATTACGTGATCGACCCTGCGACGAAACCACCTTGCGAAAATTGAAATATGATTTCAGTTTGTATAACTTTGAAAAACTCTATCACTTCAACCTTAAGAACAAAGTATGCTAAGCATAAATTAACCGAACAGTAGTAACCGTTATAATGCCTTTATTTTATGAGAAAAATGTCAATACATAAACTCGAAATCCTTATTATGGCCTCATAACAGATTAGTTTAAATCCGTAGATTGCCGCCGATGTAAGTTTATTCTTCATTATCGTAACGCACTCGTTTTGCTGAAGGCTGCCCTTGATCCAATTAATTTTGTGGTAGGATCGTGAGCTAAGTTTCATGATTTTTCTTACTCAAAACGTCTTTCTGGTATCTCGGATAAACATTCCGGTTAAAATCTCATGACTTTGGTGTAGATACCACCGTGGCGATAAATGTACGCAATAGAAATAAGAGTCAAAACAAGAATTTTTACTCGCATTTTTGAAATTATAATTCCGGCAGCGTATGCAGCTGTCAGAACGCAACGTTTTGGCGCAGTTTAGCGGCGATGCAGGGGGTATTTCAATAAAAAATACAGAACAAAAATAGATTTAAAACAAGCCCTTGCTATAAAACACGATGTTTTTCATAGAATTGATAAAAAACAAAACCCTACATATCGAGTCCGTGTCATATCAGATTTCACCAACAATATTCGGTACTCCCGTAGTGTGTGTACCAGGTTAGGATTCGGCCGTAATTTCATTTCGATTTTCCCTTATTCAAGTTTTATTACGAGTTTGGGGACTGTCTGTGTCAGCCAAGTGAATATATCCTCTGTCCAAAGGTTTCAGTCCCTTTACACAACCTGATGTAAAGTAGTCGAACAAAATTAGTTACCCCCATATTCACATTTCTTCTCGAGTGGCCAGATATAATTTACCAATAATATCGATGTTTTTCCGATAGAATAGCCTACATATGCATAAAACATTCTATATTTTAATATAGTGCTGTAAATTACCAGTACCAAGAAATCGTCGTTGGTGAAGGTGTTGTGCGACACACCTCGTATATACACTTTGTAAATAACCTGTAATGTGGTAAATAGAGTCCAAGTTATTATCAGATTTTATAGACAATATTGTAATAGCTAAACAGAACCGCGATGACACCAAGACTCTCATCTTGTGTCAAACCGTCCTTAGAAAAACTTTTTATTATGTGACAATATTTACGGGGCTTCAACACGGCATATTTTGTGTCATGGCTGCAACAATCCATTAAATATTCGATCTTTCCAATACAACATTAAGTTACGTAGTAAATCGTATTTCACCGATTTTTTGCCATTCCAGACTCGCCAGAAAATTTTTTTTTTCGACTCGCGAGACAAGACTCTCCCCGATTTTTTGGCACTTCAAAACTCTCCAACACATCGACTTCTAATACACTCGTGTAGTGTAACTTACTTGAAACTCTTCAAACCTCGGATACTTTATCTGAACTGTGTTTATAATTTATTTGCAATTGGATAAATAAGATTTACAAAATAATAACAATGCGTCACAGTATTATTATCAAAGTACAATCAGATATGAAAAAGACTTAGAACATATAGATGCAAACGATATTTTAAAACAAACGCAGATTTTAAAATTCACATACAAAGTGATTATTACATTTTTCAATCAGACCAAATTCAGTGTTTTTACTTTTTAAAGTTCAAGAAGAATTTGCGAACATTGTGGACAGAGAATGGTAGTTTTGAACGTGTGTATACATATAGCAATGGTTTCTAATCTTTTTGATGAAGCGGAACCCCAGTGCAAGTGATTATGTGCAGATTTGATTATATTGTCATCTTATAGGTAAGACATATGGGGTGTCCATGAGGTTTTAAACTTTTTTTAAACTGCAAAGGGAATTTATCGATACCATATATCATAGATGCAAAAAATGAAATAAAAATTTAACATTTTAACAATTACTGATGACAAAACAACAAACCTGGTTAACATATATTGAGAACGGAGTTCATAACAAAATTGAAATTGTAAAGGAACTTTATCATGGACACCCTGTATGTTATCAATGCATTGACTTGAGAGTAAATATTGTAATCAAACACTCCATCGAAAAACTCACATTGTTCAATTCTTACTAGTTGTGCAAAATTGGTAAAAACCACTGGTCATCATTGAAAGTAAATGTAAAGGCTGGCTGGCATGGGCAGTGATGGCACCGAAAAATATTACTTTTCGTGCAACTGAATAATTTTGATGAAGAATGAAATTTGGAGGTAGAATTTTTTTACATTCATTAAATTGGGAATGATATTCAATTTCGATTTTTTATTATATGAATAAAATGGGATAAAATTTATATGGGCTGATCAAACAAACTATTCTTCCATAAAGACCAACTAGCAATATTTTACATATTGTTGCAACAAATATCACAAGCGAAACCATTTTTTGAATAGCAGTATTAGGGTTGACACGAGATAAAACTTTAAATGTTTTCAAACTGTCCTGAATCAAAATCAGCACTCATATTTGCACATACAGCCAAACTTGGGTTCAAGTGGAAGAACATTTGAAGCCTATTCTAAGAGAACGTGCCAAGTAATTATACAATACATTTAGACGTCTTTAGCAGCAAAATACCAAATTGTGCAAGATATTACTTCAGAATTAGACCAGATTTCGTTAAAATCACTTTTCTAATATTCTAAACTTCGAATTTAATTCCAAATATCATTTTGAAGAATCAAGTACAACAGTTTGGAACAATTTCCATGGATTTATCTCCCTGATAAAACTGGCATTTTTATTAGCATCGCTGATTCAAACCCTAAAAATTTGATCTTCAGGAAAATACCAGGGCACAAAAATACTATAAGATGAATGAGCAGCGACAGTGTACGATTAAAGAAAAATAATGCAGACACATAAAATACAAGTTACAAGCAGGAACAAACAAGAAATACATATTAGATGATATAATAAATAGAATAATAATTTTAGTTCACAGCGAAGAAACATCACAGTTTTTGAGCAGTACCAAAATATTCACTGAAAATATTGAAATATAAATATATATAAGGCTTGTTTAATTTAGCAGAAACTTTTTCAAAATGGCCGCCGGATTGGTTCGCTGTGGGCAATAAGAGGGAGAGAGATTTATTATTTTGTCAACCAGAAAAATGAGCATTGCAACAATAATAAAAATATACATCAACATACACAAAGTTTTTCGGTATAGACTGGGGGGAGCGATCAGACCATACGGTCATCTCCCCCCAAAATACATTCACTGGGAGATATCATTCATTATAACTACACTAATTTAAAGTAAATAGGCTATGAAGAATTGTTCAATTCTTACAAAACTGTTTTTTTTATAGAAGAGTAGCCTTATTGAAATCGGACTGTGTTTTTTTTGTACCAATGTGGAATTGCAACAATAGAAAACACATCATATGGGTGTCAACGACACACAAAGGTTCCTAACCCTCAAGAAAAATGTATCAAGTCAAGAGTTACTATAGACTTGCTAAACTAAGCATACATTAAGTTTCGTATGTTTAATGGTTTCATTGTAGATCACTATTTTCTGATGGATTTCAACATACGAAATTTAGTGGTCGTTCCACTTTTCCTGCTATAACTTTTGTGAGCAATATCAAGACAATTAATGGAGGTCACCAGGAAGTCTTTGGACACAAAATGGATGATTACATACACAATCCTAATTTATATATAGAGGTCTACAAGAAAAATAAATAAGCAGACACAGAGGTTTTTGTTCAAAGAAAAATTGTATGAGAGTATACAGACAACATATATATGAAAAATGAATAAGTAAAATGGAATTTGTTCAATCTTGTTTACAACTAGTTTTGAGTTGCTAGGGAATTTTTGAATGGAACTCACGATGCCCTATAGGTACCCGAAGGCCGAAGCGGTAAAAAGCTATGAAATTTAGTGTATAAAAGTTGTAATATTCTAAATGATTGTTTTTTTATGGAATAAAACAAAATTTGTCGATGTAGAGTATGACAAAATTGTGATTCCAATGCAGAAATGGCAAATTATGAATATTTTTCTTCTTGAAATATCATAATCTTATAAATAACGATCTCTACTCTACCAATGGATCAAAGGTAGCATTATAGTTTTACAAGAAAGGTAACACTGAACAAAAAAGTGGCAAGAACAGGAACACTTAAAATTACTGAGTTTGAATTGAGGCCAATTCACAGTGAAAAGCAATTGATTGTGAATACTTGATATTGTATTCATCTTAGGATGAAGAATATAGCTTAAATCACATTGGGAACAATCACAAATTATTGTGAATTGCTGATTAATTCACCATTACTTAGACAACAGAATTTACCGTGAATTGTGATATTGCATTACCTAAATCATCCCTGAGATGAAAAATATTGCCTAAATCATGAATTAATGTAAACTTTTATCAACAAATTCACGCAATTTCAGTTAATTTCACTTCACCTAAATGATGTGCTCAAAACATTCTGAGATGAAAATCGTCTCATGGAAACAATTTCATCATCTGATGATAGATCTTCTTCGTCTGATTCATCGTGAAATTTTGACGAGATGGCACCATCCATGTCAGAAACTATTTCATCAGGCTGTATAAAAAAATTATTGATATTAATAATGATATTCTGAAACGTTTTCCAATCATTCACTCGAGCAAGGGTCTAGACCAGTGGTTCTCAAACGGTGGGGCGCGTCCCACAATGGGGGCATAGACAATTTTTTGAAGGGGCATGAAGCTGATTTAAAAATGAAAATATTTGTTAGGTTCGATCTTGCCCTCCTTATTTTGGATATTTACATTTCTTTATTTTCATTGTGTACACATATTTTCAACGTGTTTTTTGAACAAAACATAATTTCGCCTAACTATCTGTTATTTGCAGCTCTTTGTTGGCTAGTTATTTTTCAAGGTGGGGCGCGAGACCCAACAAATTCTTCAAAGGCCTAAATAGTTTGAGAACCACTGGTCCAAACTGATATGTATGCGGTAAGCTACTATTTTTTGAAAGGAATAGAATCGTTTCGATTCAGCATAGAGTAGTCAATCCTTACACCCAGGGTGAAGTCCAGAATGTAAAATTGTAATATATTTGGGTACTTATTGGCCTAAAAGATAAGACCCTTAGATTAAAGTTTAAGAACCACTGGTCTAACCTGATATGTGTGAAGCTTAGCTTTTATATTCAGTAATAAATAGAACCTTTATATATTCAGTATATGGAGTAGTCACCAGAATGTAAATTAGCCTAAAAGGTAAGATCCTTCAATTTCACTATATAGGGATTAAATGTTACAGAATTTGGATTTAAATACATGCACGCCACCCTCCTCCATCCCCTTGGGTTCAATAAATTGAGTAGGTATATCTGAAAAAAAAAGATTCCTTCCAACCAGAGTATTTTGTTACATATAAGTGGTTGTCTATACAGAGCGCTCATACAGTGTAAGGCAGTGATTCTCAACCTTATATATCTTGTGGCCAAGGGAATGTAAAATCAGTCTTGAGGCTGGCATGGTGGCCCGCTGTAACTGCTCTGTGGCCTCCTTGGTAGTGTCGGGTACTACTGGTACAAGGTCAAAGACATCATTAAAAGAATGTTCCATTCTAGTCTCCCTTGCGATTTTCTATACTGCTTCCTAGACATGGACTTACCTCTGACAGTGGTTCACTTTCCACTCTTTCCAAATACATTTTTGACGAACCACATTCAGGAGATGACTCATAACCAATTTCAAATTCAAGATCTGAAAATTCTGTGCCTAATAATAAAAAGAATCAAATAAGTCCACAGAATGAAATAAACACATGAAAATTGTAAAACTAGAGAACAATCACTGTTTACATCAACTTATTCAAGCTCATTTAATAACATTGGCTTCTATGTCTTCTTATTTTTAACATGGAATTAAAATAAATTCCATATTTAAAATCATTAGTCCAGTTTGTATTTATGAAATGGTATAAATTTCAGTTTTGTCTATCACCTAATATTAATTACATATAATATTAAGTTGATATAAAATGTAAATTACTTTTAAAACATTAATCAATGGAAAGGTCTACTAATTCAAATTTGAATGATTGCACGGTACTTGAAAAACACAGAATTAAGATGAATTTTTCTCACCTGAAGCCAGGAAATAAGCTTCTTCAGCATTTGACTTTTTCCTCAAAATTTCTGAAAGATCTGTGAACGACGCATTTGCTCTCATCTGAAAATATTACAGTAAACAAATTATTTTCTAGTGTAGATTCTGGATAGGCACGGTATTATATATATTTACACAAAACATCAGGATTGCTTCCCCTTATATACAGAATCATTTTATGTTGGCATATAAGTTAATCTTTCAGTTTTCATATTGCCACATTTTATTTATGCTATCTATTCAGATTTTATATATGTTGACTTTCCAACATTTTATATTACTTCTGTTATATTTTCAACTTTAATGTTGCCAGATTTATTTATGTTATTTTCTTAATTTTTATGTTACCAGATTTTATTAGTTATTTTCTCAACCTTCAGGTTGCCAGATTTTTTTTTTCAACTTGTATGTTGCCAGATTTCATTTGTTATTTTCTCAACTTGAAGGTTGCCAGATTTTATTTGTTATTTTCTCAACATTCATGTTGCCAGATTTTATATATGTTATTTATCAGCAAGTATGTTGCCAGATTTTATATATGTTATTTCTCAGTGTGTATGTTGCCAGATTTTATGTGTTATTTTCTCAACTATCATGTTGCCAGATTTTAATTATGTTATCTACTTTCATGTTGCCAGATTTTATTTATGTTATTTCTCAACTTGTATGTTGTAAGATTTTATTCGTTATTTTCTCCACTTTCATGTTGCCAGATTTTATTTAAGCTAATTTCTCAGCTTGTATGTTGCCAGATTTTATTTTTGTTAATGTCTCAACTTTTATGTTGCCAGATTCTATTTATGTTATTATCTTAACTTGTATGTTGCCATATTTCATTTAAGTTATCTTTCCATCTATCATGTTGCCAAATTTTATTTGATGTTATATCTTAGCCTTTGTTTTACCAGATTTGAGCTATGCTATTGTCTTAGTTTTACCATTGCTCGGTTTCACTTACATTAGCCAAAGAAGTTTTGTTCCTCAAAGATTTTCTTCCATCTACTTTATCAACGGAAGACCGATGTTGATCTGGCGACCCAAACTGGTGCAATTCTCTCCAGAATTCATCTCCCCATTCCTCTGTGCAAACTTCTCTTCCATATTTGTAACCAAGTTCGAGAAGATCTTTCCATCTGAATTGTGTAAAATTTTAGGAGTGGGAATTAGAAAAGTTGGAATGAATACTTGAAAAAGTTGGGAACACAAAAAAATATGTATGTTTTATGAAGCTCTAAAAAATCAATAAAAAACCATAGGTAACTCAAACCGAATTCGATCTCCAATTTCAATATTTCTTTTTGTTCAGAAAAAATGTACCAAAAAGTGCGTAATGCACCAACATAAGTCTATACAGCTTCAGTGGGTATTGGCATTTCAGTTGTACACTGTTCAGTACACTGTAACTTTGCCCAGAGATGTGTCTTCCTTAATTCTGAGTGAGTGCACTTGCTTTGAGCAAATTCTCTCAAAAATGGGAGCTCCAGAAGTGTGTGTACCAATATGGAGATATCTAATTTTGTTCGTCTACGTTACATCAAGTTGTGTAAAGTGACTGAAACCTGTGGGCAGGGGGTATATTTACTTGACTAACACAGACAGTCCCCCGAACTCATAATAGAACTAAAATGAGGAAAATCGGAATAGAATTATAGCCTAACCCTAACCTGTTACACACACTACGAGAGCACCAATAATTGTGCATCGACTGCAAGGATACTTCAGCACAAATCAAAATGACTATATTGAGTGTTTCAATGCTCGCATCACACTTTCACAAATTTTACTCTGTCCAGTTTAATCTGATCAAGTCAGACTTACTCAGACAATCTGTCACACATTACTTACTTTGCAAAATCCATGGTGCTATATTTGTTAACAGGAGGCCTCAGGTAGGTGCAGTAATTACTGTTTACAACAAGATCCATCAGATAATGACATGAAATATAGGAGAGACGCTGTTGGATTTCATTCATGTCTGGGACCTGGTATATGCGAAAATAATGTCATGAAGATTAGTTCAGAAGTAGTAGCGTATTAGGATTTAGGACAGGGTGGTCCACACCCAGGCTCGCGGGCCACATGTGGCCCTCTGATTCATTATCTGTGGCCCGCGTCACATTCGGAGAGTAATCGATAAATCGCATTTCGTGATGTTTCATAATCAAAGTTATCAGAAAAATCTTTTGACATATTGTTTCATCACGAATGTCACTGAATTGACTAGTGTTATGGTCTGCTGAGGCAAATAGCGGAGTTGAATGATGTGCTTGACAGTCTAAATTATTATCTGGCTTTCTATCTTTTTGGTCGGAAATATATGCTAACAATAAAGGCATCATAGAAAACTAAAAATCGAATGCGGATTCTATTAGCCTGGGATGGCTATGTCTGATAACTATGTGTTTGCACAATAAAAGTGTTTGTTTTGTATTGCACTGTTTACCTAATCTGGGCACTATTGTGGCCCGTGAACAATGAAAAAATAAATTTGTGGCCTGCGGAGCCGACTACCTTGGACCACCCTGATTTAGGACTTACATATTTATCCCTAGAGAAATAAAAGACAAAAAGAACCACGGCCTCTGGTCTGGTTACCAGTCCATGTTGGGTATGGAATCAGTTAGCTAGTTATTGTTTTCGGGAGCATGGGTGGTAATAGGAAACGGGGAAAATGTACCCAAGTAATAAAAAGGTCACAACCTCTACCTTAATAAGTAATTTGGGTGCATAAGTATATTTAGCAAGTATAGAATTCTGCATGTATGTCATGTAAGTGATGAAAACTGCATCTCGTTATACCATCACAAAATTTGGGAATGTGAATGTACTGGCATTATAATTGAACAGTCACATAAGCAATAAAGATCCAAAGCTTTCGCTATACTGTCGCATGAAAAACTGTTTATTTTTACATTCAGATTTCCATATTGTGAATGAATTGAGCTGCACTATTTTCTAGCTGAGGCTTGGTTGAACATAGAGAATGAGATTCCACTCTGATGGGGCGATAAACAGACCTGGGATATTTACGGATATATGTTATGTGAGGAACTGTTCTGGCGCTCCTAAAAAAAATTTGCAATACTGTTATAACAATATTCCACCTTTATATGTCCTGTCCATCTCCCGGTCCATTTTTTCCATAGAACCCACCAACCAGACAGATGATCTCCATAGTCTGTGAAATCAGAGGTGATGGCGGCACCAACATCTACAGCTATGACACGACATGCGCCACGAGATCGTGCCACATCACCTAATCGATGCCACAAATGAAAAATATGCATTAGTGTGAATTTGCGGAGTGATATTAACGTATCACAGAAAAATTTGAAATTGAATGTATGTAAGTTCTTTAATATTTTCAATTTATTACTGATCCAAAATTTGAAAATAAATATAATTTTAAATTTTAAAATTAGGAGTCTATAATACTAATTCAAGTTAACTTTCCAAACTGCTGCAATAAGATATTCAACTTAGCAATAACCCTAAAACTGGCTGGCAATATCTATATAATGTAATAACATGGTCCAATATATGCTACAAAAAGTTTACCGGTAATTAAAATTTAATGATGAATAAAATAATATAAAGAGATATGACAAAATGAGGCAAATTTAAAATGGCCCACATTGGTGTTATGTTGATAAAGTTCATTGAAAACCCATCAAAATAATATATCACCATATATATTCAAAAAAATTATGAAATCTTCCAAATGCGGACTCCTAAAGCAATTGGTGTCAAGACCATTCAAAATTTTAATTTTGGTTACTTTAGAAACTTTGGCAATTGAATTTATTTCCCCTAAATTATCATTATATTGATGCTTATATTTAAAAAACACATGAAAGCAAAATCATTTTTCTCAGAATAATAGTATTCTGTCTTCCAAAATTTTCATTTTAAACTATTTACTTTATAAATTCAGGTACTTAAATCCACTGTTGTCCCTAAATTATAACCTTCTTAATGCACAATTATTAATCAAAAACTGTCTAATACATATCCCTATTTATATAATAATATTCCTTCTGCAAAATTTCTTCATTCAAATTGGTTAACTAAAAAATTTAGGTACTTTAATCTACTATCTCTAAATTATACCCATTTTAATACACATTTATCCAGAAATAGTCAAAGGCAAAATCGCTACTTATCAAAATATTTTTTCTCCCAAGCAATTTCCAAAGCCCTACCTGGAACGTTATTAATGTAGCCTCCATCCATCAATAAATGACCATCTTTGGGGTCGCATATTGGGGGTAGATAACCGGAAAGAGACATGCTGGCTCGTACATACCTCCATAAAGAACCTATAGTACAGGTAGAAGAGATTTTTTCATGTTTAGTTTGCTTTTGAAGCACATTAGTGTTTTGATGCATGCTTGTTGTGGACAGGACAGAGAGACAGAGTCAGACAAATATTAGAAAAACCTAAGATGCTTGTTGTGAACAGAACAGACATGAAGACAGACAAGAGTCAGACAAATATTGATACATTGAAAAAACTTAAGATGCTTGTTGTTGAAAGTGAAGAAACGGACGGACAAACAGGAAGAGTCAGACAAATATCCATCAATACATGAGAAAAATCTGAAACGCTAAGGTGAAGTGACGAACAGACAGAGTCAGACAATTATTAATTCACAGAAAAAGACTAAGAATGCCTATTGTGGAAAGTGAAGAGACAGACAGACAGACAAACAGAGTTATACAAATATTACAGCACAACAAATAACCCATAAATTTAATAGCACAGACAAACAGACAGGGTTAGACAAATATTGAACCATGACAAATACCCAAATACTTTAATAACAGAAATATGTTTTCACAGAACAGGGGAGGGACAGACATACAAACAAATAGTCAGACAAATATCGATTCATTGGAAATAACCCAAGAATTGGACAATTTAGCTATTTGACAACTGACATATTTTGTCGAGAATCTTATGAAACAAGGTCTGAATCTTATTGATTTTTTGTTTATAAATCACCAATAGGCAATGAAGCGTAATACAGAGTTAGAATTCAAATTGAAATTAGTCAAGACATTAAATCAAATTTTTCTCACAAATCTTAGAAAATGTTTTCCCAATCATAAAAGGAATCTCAGTTGCACTTATAAGCAAGAACAAATCAGCAAAGTCTAATAAGATTCATATCTTGTGAACGAATTATAAAATTAAAGGGCTTCAAATGAGTGAGAAGTCCTTTAGTTTCTAAATTCACAATTTTCTAAACCATCACCAAAACACAACACCAATTACCAAGTGCACAGACATACATACAAACACAATCCAAATTTTGCATCAAACGATCTGCCTTCCTCATTCGTCAAAGACTGACATGTCTTTATTGCCAATTCTAAACTACTTTGCTAACACATGCATATATGCAACAATCACTATTTATTTTGAAATTATTTGGTTATCGCTTCGAATGATAAAAAAAAGTGTAAAAAAAAATGCAGTAAATATACATTGATATTTCACTGCAGGATATAAATTAAATTATTGCATCAAAGAAATAAAATGTGTTAGTGCTGCTAATTGTTAATCAAATAACTAATAAGAGGAGTGCCAGCATGCGAAAGGTAGAGGTGGTCATTTGTTGATGAGTGAAAGACACATTATCTGTTCCTCGATAATATACAACAATGTTTGCTGTATAAATAAGGGGGGTGTGCAATTAAATGCCCCTCGCAAGGAAAATTTGTGCGGCCCGCAGAGAAGTGCCCATTTCAAATGTTGTGCGGCTTGCGAAACAAGTTATTAAATTGGACCTTCCTGAAGTATGCGCACCAAGATGGCGCACAACCTGAATTCAGGTTGTGTACCAGGTTAGGGTTCAGGTTATGCGACATCTTGGTGCGCATACTTCAGGAGTACCATTAAATTAGTGTAATCTGGTATGTGTGAGTAATACCTTTGAGTTGCAAACTCTATACCTTAGTCGAATTTCTTATCCATACGTACAACGTTACAATGCCCCAACAGCAAGTTGTGCGTAACAAAAAGCGCATATAATAAGACCAATAACTCAAATTTTTTTTACAATCATTTTGATTCCATATTTTAATAAGTAGACTTGTTGAAGAGTGCCATCTACATTAGATGTGTAAATTCATTGATTGATGCAATGATCAAAATTGCACTACTAATGTATGATTGAGTGTTAAATGATTTTGATGCTGGGTTACTAGAAATGTTCCAAAATTGAATTTAAACATCAGTTTATGATAATGAAGTTTAAAAGATAATTTGTTAGAGAATTGAAAGGACTGAATTTCCTGTTACAATTTATTATAACTTTGTGTTATTTAAGGAATTCAAGTCCCTTGGCAATATTCGTTTTTTTATATCGTTTATTATTTTTCTACTAAGTTTTTTAAATTTTTTCAAATTTCAGAACACAAAAAGTTTTGAAATTCAAGTAAATAATATGATATTACTTTATATTTCACTTATTTTTAAATAAATTTAAATATTTGGCGTTGATTTTTCAAAACACAAGCTGGAAACCGTTTTATCTTGCATTTATGATTTTCTAAGGACCCTTGTAAGCCATCTTGTATAATTTGCCTCATTTTGTCATATTTGATTTGTTCAAGGCACCTGGTACGTTATTCATGTAACATCCGTCGAGTAGGTAATGGCCATCTTTGGGATCACACATGGGAGGAAGATAAGGAGTAAAACTCATGCTAGCTCGTACATATCTCCATACAAGCCCTGTAGAAAGCATAACGATTACTGATAGAAAGATAACTGAGAATTAGAACATGGATTATTCCTAATTTAAAAGGCTTTTTTATTGGTCCAAGGAATTCGAATACTGGAGATTTTTCATGACACTGCTCAGGCCCTATATATTTGAAATTAATACAAGAAATTTAGAAATAATCTTGCAACTACAAGTTGGCCTAAATTTATCCAAAAATTTGAAATTGAACAAAATTCAAATTGTTTATATTGATAAAAAAAATTGGAAAGTAGACTGGTGGTGTTTGTAAAGCTATGTTTTGTACTGAAAATAGAAGATTCTCGTTTTTTTTTTCACGTTATGTAACGACCCAATTTTTTAGTTCAGTAGAATAGTTACCTAAAACATTAAATTAAATGAAAAAAATTAAATTAAATCAAAAATATATTCACAAAATGATGTCAAAACTTGGAAATATGCTGGTTTAAATATTTCCAAGTGAAAGGAAAAAAATACGAGAAGGCATGCATTTAAGGGTTGGTGTAACATTATTACTACAATATGCAACTACATGATGGTAGTTAATTGAGTACTCCCGTAGTGTGTACCAGGTTAGGCCATATTTTTATTCCGATATTCCTTGTTTTAGTTCTATCACAAGTTCGGGGACCGTCTGTGTTAGCTAAGCGAATATACCCCCTGCCCATAGGTTTCAGTCGCTTCACACAACTTGATGGTAAAATAGGCGAACAAAATTTGTTACCTCCATATTGGTACACACACTACTGGAGCGTCATTAATTGTCATTAATATATTTAAAATTCTCTAAATTCAGGAATTGACCCAATTAGGGACATTGTTATTGCCAATTCCATGTTGATAAAAAATAGGATATGTTTACCATATCAAATTTATATCGGTAAATGTAAAATTTTTCAGAAAAATTTGGGCTAATAATGATATCAGATTATTTGAGCCATTTAGGTGATCAATACTGGCGGCGTAAAAGCTGTCATATTTAGTTTAAAAAATGTCAAAATAAGTCATTTATTCCATTACACCTGAGCAAATAAGATATACATTTCTCAATGAAACAATGCTCAACCACCGTAAACGCACAAATTCCCACCAAAGACACTTAACAACTTGTACATGGCACTTACCATCTGTATGTACCCTCATCTTTGGTGACGTTATATCGGTAGTGATTGTATAATATGGAAGCCATAGATCCTATGGACAAAGTGAAGGAAATATGTTTAACATTCAAATATACAGTGAGTGGAATGATTTTAAACTAAATGTTCTAATAGGGGTTAAATAAAAGTTATGAAAAAAAGTGTCTGAATTCACAAGAAAACAATGCTCAAATATATGTGGACATGTAGGTCGCACATTGGTACCGTTGCAATAAAGGTCGGCGGGCTAGTATATAGAAGTGGTTGGGCGATACGAAATAAAGTGTTCCCCTCCATTTAAATTGAAACATCAATACTGTTGGTGAAATATCAGGTCTCTCAGATCTCGCAGACAAAGTATAGAAAGAAGATTAATACTCAACAATACGTTTTAGCATCGTAAAAAATCCCCAAAAATGAGTGTTCACCTTGACTTGATAAAAAAAAAATTAGGTGTTCACTTAGGTTTGACATGAGATAATGATTATGCGTTTATCTTGGAACAAGTCACAAAAATTGAGTGTTCACCTCGATTTGAGTTTCTTTGAAGACAGCCTGTATTGCACGATTAAAAGAAGCCCCGCTGAACATAGATGTGATGGGATAAGTCAAGTCGAATAGCTTCGGCATGAAGGATCCCATTCCAGTGGAAAAAGTTGCAGTTTGAGATCGGACTATCGCCATATCTCTGTGTCCTGCCCATAATGCACCAACAAAAGCACCAATTGAAGTTCCTCCTACCATGTCTATGGGAACACCTGAGATATTGGAATGGAATATTATCAGGACTAACAATATAGCAAAAATATATAAATTTAGATCAGTCGTTCCGCTAGTCGAAAGTTTTTTTGTCAGTCTGCAAGCAATTTTGTTCTTTTATTATTGATAGTTTGAACAATTTCTTCATGTTTTGTGATTTTTTTATCTAGTTTGTGCCAAAACACTGAAGTATGTTACTTAAACAAAAACAAACAGATAATTGGTACAGTTAAATGTTAGGAACACAATTGACTGCACTTCTCGAAGTGGTTCAAAAGCTTATATTCCGTATCCCGTGAGATATACTCATGTGCCAGAGTAAGAAGATTGGTGTAGTCCTCAAAGTCACAGGGTGGTTCAAATAGCAACTGGATGGTTAAGTTTTCCTACACCATGTAAGACCATGTATCTCAGGGGTGGGCAACTTCTCTAGTCGGCGGGCCAGATGTGGGAAAATGAAGTCCTCGGTGGGCCGGATTATAACATGAATAGTGTTCAATATCTTAATCACATATTTATTCGCTAATGCAGAAAAGAAAAATTTGAATAGCGTTTAAAGTAAAGTTTAAACTACAAATAAATAGAGACCAAAAAACCATTAATGAATTATCATAATGTACTAAAACTGTAATAATGTAATATCATAATATACTGATGTACAGTCAGCGGGCCGGTCAAAATCTCAACGCCGTGTCCGGCCCGCGGGCCGTATGTTGCCCGCCCCTGATGTATCTGATATTTTAAACGAATTCTATACCAGAACTGGTCTGGTAACCAACAAGAGGCCTGCCAGCATAACAAAACCATACTACTGGCTTGGCTCTTATGGGGACAATTATAATAAATCATATCTAATCAAAAATCAACCACACAAACAAATTCTACAAGCCCAATAAAAATGTACTTGCCAGATTCTAGTAAAGCTTTAATAATTCCAAGTTGAGAGATTCCTCGAGCTCCTCCACCACCTAGCACAAGGGCTACAGAAGTGCCAGTCAAAAACCTGGCAAGCCTTGAAAAGTCACTGAACCTGTCGACTTCTCGTTGTCGTAACCTTTCTCTGTATTGAGGCTGGAGAATAATAAAACAATAGATGAATAATGGTTATTGAAAGACTTAAGTTTTATTGAGTGGTTGAATATAAATGGGCGGTCTAGTGATTGACATGTTAATACTGTCTAAAAATATGATAGCTGACACCTTATCAGAAGCTGTTTGTCTATACTTTTGGTTAATATGAGAAAACGAAACACCTCATAACAAATAGAAAAAAATTTCAAGAACATGGAAGTGAAAGATAATGAATGAGTAGAAAATATCCTGGATGAATCACTTCTCCGTGTTCTATTGCATTAGGATGCAGATTTATATTTATAAATTCTGGTATAAGCATAATGAAGCAAACTCAATATGTGATATACTCATGTAGACCAAAAATGAAATATAAGATCCCTTGTAAATAACATTTTATGATTTTTTGTTGTTGATAGCATTTCTTGAAAAATAATCATCCAATTATGATGTCATTGGTCACGATATAAATACCATCTCATGCAGAGTGTAGCTGATTCGGTAAACTATGCCAAATAGAGTAGCTTGATTACTCACCAATTTTGATTTCGTTGTTCTCGCAAACAAACGTTTTGAGCCCTTGATGTGTAGATGTTCAGTCAACCATCCCCTCATGTTCAACCATTCCACAGTTCTAGTTGGTTGAGAAACCTCTGGTCGATGAAGCAGGACCAAAACCTTCAAGGCTCGAATTGAGTAATTTTCAAGTTCTTGTTCAAGCTGAAAACAAAAAAAGTTGAACACTGATTATATTCCGGTGGAATGAAAATTGAAGGTGAACCAAGGTGACTTTCGAATCCTGCATTGTAAGTCCGAGTTATTTTATAATTGGATTAATTAGGAGGGTGGAAAATATCAAATCAAAAATGTCCAAAAAGGATAAAATATATTAAAATACTATAGGCCAAAAATTAGTTAATTTTTGGAGTTATTTGCATATTCAAAATCCAAATTTTGCCACGTTGTTCAATCAACATCTGATAGTCAGAGAAAATAAGGACTCATTCCATAAATCGGGGTGTGCAACTTGCGGCCCACAGGGAAAAATTGTGAGACTCGCCAAGAGGTGCCAATTTTAGATGGTAGGTGGCCGGCGAAACGAGTTTTTAATTTAGGAATGTCTAGTATGTGCGAGTGATTCCAATTTCTTTTCGTAGCAAAGCCTAAAATTGAGCTCGTGCGTGTCATAAGATCAATAACCAAAATTTTTGTGCATTCAACTACTAGAAAGCCTATGTTAAATGAAGGTGTGGCCCGCAGATTCACCCAGTTATTTGAATGTGGCCCTCCTGTATTGAAGGTTGCACACCCTTGCTGTAAATAATTGAATCCAATCCCATAACGCCAAAAACTAATGTTCACCTCTCCAACATTTGGTTCTCCATCCCCATTCGCTACAATCAATATTGCATCAGACTGTCTTATGCATCGTTGTGTCCATAATGACATGTGATCATCTGCTTGGTATAGAACAATCCGATGCAAATCTTCCTGTTGAGCCAGCCATCCCGATAATCTGTATTCGTGTGCACTGCAATTAAAAAATCGGTTCAAAATTTGACAACAATAGACTTTGAGAGCCAGTCTCTGCAAGCCCAAAATGCCTCAAATCGTTCATTTCAGACCAGTATTTCTGTAAAAAAAAGCTCTAATGAACAGTGTTTTCATCATATGACATATTTATATGCCTTTAAACAAGGCATGTATTTTAAACAAGGCATGTATTCATGTATTCTGTATTCATGGGCGCTGAATCGAAAAAAATAGCATAAATTGGTGATTGAAATATTGTGTCAAATGCATAACCGGTAGATAGATATCTTGGTGCACTTTTCTGCAGATAAAATTTATAAAATAAAAAAGTACTCGCATGAATTTACCAAATAACAATGAAGGTCAGTCTCCTGCAAGCCCAAAATACCTAAAACCTATTCATTTGAGACTAGTAACTTTGGAAAAAACGCCCCAATATAGTTTTTTTTTTCAGTATTCAATTTTAGTAAAGACTCAACTATTTCCTCATCATTGCAATGACCATTGTAGAATGTTGTCATCCTGACTCACCATACTCAGACTTTGATCCAATCAATCATAGGTCAAGGGTCAAAGGGCAACATATGGTGAGTCAACCATGACCAGGTTATCAGCAGCAGATACTTGTATAACACAATAGTATCTCATGGTGAAATTACTTGAATTGGAATAAGAATTTATGCCTCATTATTCTAAGGAAGATGATATGATAGTTTTATCATATTACTACAGCTTCTCACTTGTCTTAGTCGGATATTCATAGAAGCCGAAACATACCATGATTTTATTAAAAAGTGTCCTGAATAATATTTTTTAGTAGTCCCGTAGAATGTGAACCAAGATGGCAGATACCGGAACGAAGTATGTGCACCAGGTTAGGGTTAGGCCATAATTTCAGGTACAAATACTACGAAAGTCGCTTGCTTAGTACCCGAACTCGTAACAGAACTAAAATAAGGAAAATTGGAACAAAATTATGGCCTAACCCCACCCAACCTGGTACACATACTATGTTCCAGTGGGCGCCATCTTGGTTCACATACTACGGAAGTACCTAATTTTTTCAACCTGGAATGGAACGTAATGGTTAATTGTGACTTCATACAGACTCCATTGCGTAATAGCTGACTAGTTGATGGTTTCAGATAAATGAAGTGGGAGGGTACAGAAAGACTTGACCAGGAAATGTGATAGACCTCAATTTATGTCTGTCAGTAACAGTCTCCCTAGAATCTTGCTGGGTGAAAGTAAGAAAACCATAGCATTTACATATTTATCCAGGGGGAGAGGAAAGTCGATAGGGGCTTAACCATATGGCAAACTACCGCCTCTCGTCCGATTACCATCCATGTGAAGTATGGGATTAGTTAGGTATTTGTATTCGGAAGCATGGACTTGATGGAGAAAGACGTAACCGACAAGTGGTTCCTAACGCTTAGCACGATGAGCCACACCGCCACGATAATAAACATTTCATTCTTAATAAATGGCAATATACCTGTCTAAAGCACTCTGTCCCAATCTGTTCTTGATGTTGTCACTTGTTAGATGCAAAACCTGGTCACATATTGCAGATAATGCATGTTCCAATTCCATTGTGAATTTTTCTACAGGAACACCACGATTCACTGGCAATACTGCCACAGTTGATAAGTTGGCCAGATGGTTGGAGACATCTCCATATGCAAATTTTGCTGCAAAATTTAAAAAATTTACAAAACACTATCAACGTAACAACACAGTTTTATGGAAGCATGTTAAAACAATGGGTTTTCACTAGATTATCAAAACTCACTTATTAGTGAAGGCTTCACAACTGTGAAAATTAAAAAAAAAATCATGGTCAAAAAACTTTCAATTTCAGTTCTTGAACTATTATGGTCAAAATGAAACTAGAAATATTGAAAATCTTGTTTGTGCAACCGAATTTTTCTCTGATTTGACAAATACACATAGTTTTGATGTTTCATGATCCATGACCCCATTCCAATGACGTTACTGCTAAGTGGCCTCTTTGCAAATCTGGCCAAAGGTTTAACAGGTTTCCAGGTTATTTTATATGACATAAAAATAATAAATGCGTTACAGTCAAAGAATTAAACAACTAACTATTAATTGACATAAAATTATGGTAAGCATTGCAAAAGTACCCTTTGCTTGTGGCCCCCAGAGAAACGCCCCAGGGCCGCGTTTGGAAATCCAGAGGGCCCAGTTTGAAAAACCCTGGTCTAGATAAAATGACAATATTTTCGGTATATCTTTACTTACTCTCTTCAGCCATTTGTTGTTTATGAGATAACAATTCACCGGGATGATTTCTATACGTTGGTCTGGTTGTCATCATTGAACCAAGAAGTTTTTCTGACACAAGCGATACAAGGTGTGAAACAACCCCTGGATGGTGACGCTGAAAAAAAAAGTCTATTTTTGAATCAAGACCACAAACTAACATTGTGAAATTGGAAAGTTTGGTGACAAAAAAATGGCATTGGCCCTTATTGGAAATTAAAAATATATTCTTATTTTGTAGAGAATCTGCAAATAGCAAAAAGGCCCGCACTCACTCAGAAATGAAGGAAACTCACTTCTGATTAAAATTGTGTGCACTCAGTCAGAAGTAAAAGAGATTCATCTCTGAGAAAAGTTATGAGCGAACACTGAAATTCTGAGAACTACTGAAACTATATAGATTTTAGATGTACATTACGACGACTAAGCAAATCTTGACTAAGTAACCATCATTCCTCCATGCATTAGCACAGGAACCTGTATGTGATCAATGTAAGGAAAAGCTACAAAAATACATTTGTGTTAGTGTGCAGCAGTACTCTCAAATCATATTATGAAGATATATATTGATTTCCTTACTCTGATATGTTTCAGCAATCCTTCTGGTATCTTTGCCAGCTCAGTATCTCTCACAGCATGCATAGATACAGCTCGACTTGTGCCTCGCAGAGCTTCCATCTGAAAACAATACGAGAGATGAGTTGAATAAAATTCAAGAAAATCCACTACTTAATACTTGCAAGGAATACTCACCATTCCAACCATTTCTCCTCTTCCAAACTCAGAAACCAATTCCTTCTTTCCAGTTGAATGAATTTCATGAACTGATCTTAACCTTCCGTGTAGTATGATGTACATGCAATCACTTGTAGTACCTTGCCTGAAATGCAGGGGTCAAAGTTAACACTTTTTTACAAACAACAAAACATTTAAGCATGTTTGGGTAACAACAGCACAGCTGTCAATCGGGTTTCTGACTAACTGCTAATCCTTCTTCTATGGCTTTGTGATTTTGGATCTATATGTATATAATGCACGAACTATTTGTCACAGCACAGCTTTAGGTACTCCTGAGTATGTGTACCAGGTTGGGGTTAAGCCATAATTTATTCCGATTTTTTTTTTAGTTCTATCACGAGTTCGGGGACTGTCTATGTTAGTCAAGTGAATATACCCCCTGACCATAGGTTTAAGTCCCTTTACGCAAATTGATGTAAAATAGGCGAACAAAATTAGTTACTTCCATATTGGTACATATACTTCTGGAGCACCAAGCTTTCTATTTTAAATTGCCCAAAACAAGTATCCAAGACCTAACTAAAACTGGAGATGAGAGTGCTAACTGCATAAATTCAGGCAATCACTGACTAATCAAGACAGAAATGTTAGTGAATAGCAATAGATACTTGAAACACTTGAAAAAAACTTGAATTGAACATTGTCTGGGAAACTGCAGTACTGGGCATCAAAAAATTTACTATCCACAATTGAATACATTTTGCATGTTGCTTGCAATTCAATTTGCTAACTACATGCTTGAATTGTAATAAGTCCAGCTAACAATAGTTCAAACAATATTGAAAGAAATTTACATTCACAATTGCACACATAGCCTTTGATATGTGAGATGTTGCTTGTAACTAAATTTTCGAATACATTTTTGACTATATGATATATAACTCAGTGATGTAAGTAACTTAGTCATTAGTTATGAGTTTTTGAGTTCATAAAATATTGAACTTACTTATAAACAGCTTTTCCGGCTTCCACCATTAACCAATCAAGAGCAAAATCTATTTGTCGAGTAAAGCGACTGACTCTTTGCACCACCGTGTGGGCAGTATTGAGCACCATACGAGGATATTTTCGCATTATACTGTGAATTAACAAAACACAATTGACTATACAATTTTGGTAAACTTTTTGAACATTATATATTCATTGAAATCATATATTACTGTCTGCGCTTTTATTAGTAAGGTTTTTGCTTGAACACAATAATCAAGAAATCTTTATATAAAAATATCAACCCAAAAATACAACAGCTACTCATTGAGACCGGCATCTGAGCATCATTAACTACGAAAATTCATTAAACAATTACAATCTTGCTACATAGTAAAATATAAGGCGCTTCGTCCTATAAAAATTTTGAATAACGATTTACAACAATCTGAACTCATAACATACAAAACCATTAACAATTCCTAATTATCTACCTATAAAAGTCTTTTCTTTTCAGCAAAGCAATAACAGAATTATTATCAGCTCGTACAGAAAAAAATGACGGTTCGCCAGTTAGTACAGCAAGTTGTCCCGTCAACATACCAGGGAATGCATGGAAAAGTGTAACCTGAAAAATGGAGAATTAAAAAGACATTTGCTTACAAGAACGTGGTAGGATTTTTCCATTTTATTTTTGCGAGCCATTATGAAGCTCAATTGTGAAGATAACAACATTCTCTCATAATAATTACCAGTCTAGGTTGGATATGGAAATAGTTAACAAGTTAATACATGTTCCACAAAAATTAACATTTCACACTGTTTGTAATAATACATTCAAATTTGGATCAGTATAACACAGTTGAGGGGAAAGGCACACTAAGAGAGCGACAGACAGAATCAAGAACCTAATACACATGAAGTTACAATGCGGCCAATCAAAAACATAGTCTACTGGACACGCTACAAAGTCACAATACATGACACTGTTTATTACAAATATAAACTATCAATTTTATTTTATAGTGATCAAAAAACAAAATGTTGCAAATTCATAGTTTTTCAGCACCATGATAAAAATTCATAAGATAGAGAATATGAATAATTAGTAAAAATATTCTGCACAGAACCAAGAACATGTTCCAGAAAGAAATGTTTTCAGAATAGAAATGCATTTTATAGGTAATAATCTCTTTGAGAACAGATTTCATTTTAGGTTATATAAGCTTCATAATCGGATCTAGGAACACCTAGATTCGAATTTTGTCTTTACAATGACAACTTACATTATGATCTGCACAAGGGTCATGTTGCAGTATTGCTTGATAAATACACAATGATCCAGTGACAACAAAATACAAGGAAACATCCTGTTCTCCTTCCTGGATGAGTTCATAACCTTCTGGTACCTGGATGTATAAGAAAGAAGGTTTGAGATTAAAAATAAATTTGGAAATAAATTTTTGCTCTCACATTTCCATATGAACAAGGCTCTACACAAGATATTTAACCCTGGGTTAGGGGGGAACCATTGGACCAGAGATATATACCCACGCTACCACTATGAGTCCACGTTTAAACCAGGGGTGTACCCTGTATCATACATAGCCCTGGAACGCTTTTCAGACCCTCACGACTCTCGAGACCCACATATTCCACGGTCTAATTGGGAATTAGAAATTTTGAAAACTTCTGGCTATGATCCTGGTTTCAACCTTGAAATACTAATAAAATAATTTTGAAACGCTACCTGAAGTAAAACAACTTTTTCTTTCAATATTTCTTCGTCTTCAATTCCAAACACAATCATCAAATCTTGGACAACAAGATCCAGAATCTCTGGTTCATTCAACTCAGTTACCTTAAAAAACAATTTTTTTTGCAAACAATGATCTGCACAAGCTAAGAATAGAGTCTCTGATAATATGAAACAACCAAATATTACTAGAACTTTGGACATACTCATAAAGAAAATGAAGGAAAGTTAAAAACCAATGATTTAAATGTTCTCTATTCTAGACTTCATACCAGATACACCAGTATTTACCAACCCAATTTTTGCTTTGTGAGTGAGGGATAACTAATATCTTTACACTATATATAATAAGAGAGAAATGCATAAACAAATATTGAGAACTGTAGGCTGTACTGTTTTAGGCAAGTTTTTTTTTAAATGACACTCAACCATATAAATTCCCATGCGACATTGCAGCTTGTTTCAAAAGGTCAGCAATACCTAGGATTCAATACTTTTTTAATTTAGGCAGAGAGGGAAACGACTAAGTCAACTCACCGATTTTCTTTCTTCCCAACTTTCTTGTGGTCGGTTACTCGACCAACGTCCAGGTGTTTCCCCACTTGATATTGATGTTGTACTGTCCCGGTGAATATATTGATACGATAATTGATCTTCAAACTGAACAAAAAAATTAAAAGTTTTTTTGTGTCTTTACATCTCACACACAAAAGGAAAACTTTCTCAAGGAAGTGATAAACCTCGAAACCCCATGAAACCAGAGTCAAATATTGAACAGAAAAAAAAGTTTCAAACGAGGATTGTCTTTCTGTTCAAGCATCTATTAATTCCAATGCTAAAAGCAAGCAGCTCTTGACACTACATTGGATGCTTGTTTTCGTTTTATGTGTAAAAGAAAACCTGTAAACCCCTTTTAAACTTCCTTTTAGAAATCGGAATAAAAGATTCAAAAATGGTGATGAAAGTATTGCCTTTTCATTTAATCATAACTAAATAGCGAAATTAATTGTAATACAAAGTAAAATTTCCTCCCCAAACTTTTCGAATTCATCCCTGGGCAGAAAGAGTAAATGGATGTAAAATTTTTTTTAGAGAAACTAGTCAAACGACCTAATTATCTAATCCCATTTACCTCTTCTAAACTCGCTTTTTCATCTAAGATATGCTTCTTTGATCCTGTGTTTGGGAGACTTGCTTGTCTGAAGGAAATAATTGAAAAATAAAATAAGAAAAACTATTCAACTATAACATGAACAATGCGCTGAGTTGCAAAGAATATTTGGACGAATATTAAGTAATGACATACAACATAAAAACATGTAAATTTTATGAAGAAAAAGTATAAAAGATTTGCCCAAATTGAGTTCAGAATTTTGAATTCTCTAAATGTTGAACCACCAAAATACTAAATTTATTCTTCTATTAACAAAACTAAATCCAACTTGTAATTAATTATTAAACCTACTGGTTCAATTATCTTTCCTACCTCTGGAAAATATTATCGTTGTCATCGAATACGGTCACAATTTCTCCAAATCTTAATTGCTTAGCTTTTGATTCCTAGAAGCAAGAAATATTATTTAAAACAAATTTAACAAAATATTTACTTTTTTGGGTAAATTTGCACGGAAAATTTATTAATAAATTTGAACCAAAATAATGTGATATTATATAAATATTAAAATATGTACCAATTAAGTATCAAGAACTAAAACCAGGTGGGGAAAATAAAACACTGAAAAGCTTGGAATGTGCTAATTAACTCATAGGAGAATTCAATTGGGGAGTGTTTAAAAGCGATAAATACAACAGTGTCAAATCCTTAATTATTGAATGTTATGCTTGAAGGGAGGCATTAAAAGTAAAAATTATTTATGATTTGCTTGCATAACATTGCCGACTTTGTTCGTAAGACCAGAGAAGCGACGCGCTACACAGAACATGTGGTCGCAAAAAATCTTGATATATTGAAAATGTTCGCGAGCTTAAAAATTTGGGAAGCCCTGAACTAGGCAATAGCAAACTGACAAAAACTTTTTTCGAGAATATATTTTTATGAACAAGTGATAGATTATTCATCTAGTACAAAGTGTGACATATCGAATAAAAAAGCATCCTCTGCCCTAAACATAAACTCCAATAGAGCAGGTTCTTTTTTGTCACTCAATAGAGCAAAGTACTAACCAGTACTAACCTGGAGTACTGGGTCTGATTTAACTTTTGGTAGAGATTCTTTAACAATTGGTCTTTCATTTCTGAAAGAAAATTATAAATTAATAATAATAATGCTCTTTATAAATATCAATTCCAATAATCTTAAAAATATTTGATTTGGCTTTCTTCTTCTTTCAGAATTTTGAAAAATTATGCTCATAAAGAAAAGTGTAATATGTGTAAATTTTCAAATGTGCTCAAGATGGAGGCAGACCAGAGTAGGTTTTATATGAAAAAGGAACCGTGCAAAGGAAATCAGAAATCCCTACACCTAGTGCAATTTTGGACATTCTTGGACTCTAAACTATTTCAAGAGTGAATAATAAAAATGATGAAAAATTCAAAAAATATCACTCATCATAGTATACATACAGAATAGGAAAAATCCAGTTTGTCTAAAACAGTGTTCCTCGAACTTTTGATGATATCAAGCTTTGCTTTTAGGAGGTTTAGACTGGTTATTTTGTTCCCATGTTTAATAATAAACAAACAAAGTCAAAAAGCCACAAGAATAACTTCAAATGGACGCAGTCATCACAAATGGTAGCTAGTAAAGGTCACGATTCCGGCCAGCAGAGGACTTCTTCGTGCCCTCTCAGGGCGGCCAAGAGTCCAGTCCAGTTTAGCTTCTTACAAATCAGTGTACACTTGTCTAGAGATTTATTCAGGCAAATACATGATTTACAATATTAGAAAAATAAAAAAACCACTTACTGTAATACGGCTGCATCTGTTTGATCTGTATCAGTTTTCAAAATATCTGTTGCTGACTCATCACTTTCCTGTGAATGCTGACTAAGCAGAGAACCCAAAGAATCTTGTGATTGACATAACTTATGTATGGATAGTCGGCCTCCATTCCCATTTTTTACCTAAAATAATAAATTTCAGAGTCAGAATTTTATACAGATATAATTGGATAAAGTAGTAGTTCTCAAACTTTTTAACAATTTTTTTTATTTTCAATTAGCTCCACGTTCCCTCAACCAATTGTCTACTATGTAGTGCGCGCCCTCGTGTGGTGCTCAGCTGAAATCCAAAATTGTTGCAACAATCTACATACCGTAAAACGGGGTGACTTTGACCTCACGGGTTGACTTTGGCCCCATTTTGAGAATTTGTTTAAAACCCACCCAAATCTACTTTTATTTGATATTTCCCATTTTATTTTGTTTTGATACTGTAGTTAATAACAGCAGCAATAATTATACAACAAAAAATCTTGTCACTTTATGAAAAATATTTGGGAAAAAAAACTTTTTCATTTGGAGGGTCAGAAATAAAAAAATTGAAAAAAAAATCGCAACTCAGTACTTTTATTGAGAAGTCCAAAAAAGAAACATTCAATTGTCCTTATTCTTTACAGGTTGGAAGAGATATTCTCTGTGAAGGTTTTTATGGTGTTTGGAACAAGTTTAAACTAGTTGGGGGCGTATGAGGGAGGTTTTTTGCCCACAATGCAAAATTCCATGTAATATGGTACTGACTTTGGCCCACCTTATTACCCTATACAAACCTACTTTTTTGTTTTATTTTTCAGAAATAAAACGAATTTATTTTCTCATTCTAGTCATCCAGTTAATCTATAAATGTAAACAGTTTATTTCAAATCATGGTGAGAAAATTCAGTCGTGTTTTGGGCAGTAGAAGATACCATGATTATAGTGAGAAAAAACTTCAGCGAGCTCTGGAAGCAATTAAAAGGGGAGAATCGCAAAGAAACGTTGCAGCACAGTTCAATATACCTAGGAGTACTTTGAAGAATAAGTTGAAACTGAGGCACATGAAAAAATTTGGTGGGCAAACAGTTTTATTTGCAGAAACTGAGAAAATTCTAGTGGAGCACTGCATAGCCGTAAGCAGTTTTGGTTTTCCGATAGCACAGGAAGATTTGAGAAGCATAGTTAAAGCTTATCTTGATGCAAAAGGAGTGACTGTCAGTAAATTTCACAGCAATTATCCTGGAGTTGAATGGGTGAAAGCATTCTTAAAAAGGCACTCAGAACTAACGGTGCGATTCGCAACGAATATAAAAAAGAAAAGGGCAGGGGTATCGAGTGAGACTATTGAAAAATATTTTGAAAACATCGAAGAAGAGTTGGATGATGTGCCCCCGGAAAATATTTGGAATTATGATGAAACAAACTTAACTGATGACCCAGGTATGAGTGACTTTGCTTTTAAGTATATACAGTACTACGGTATTCAATTTTTCAAGCGTTCTTTGTTAATCCCCTTTTTTAAAATATTTACTGCGTCAAATCAAATTTTAAACTATTTATGGTGTTATGTAAAATTTCACTTTGGCTTGCAGTCTAGTATGGATAATAAATATTACTGTATTGTGATCAAAGCATTTATTTTTAGGGCAAAAGAAGATAATATGCAAGCGCGGCTGCAAATACCCAGAAAGAATCCTGAATTCGACAAAATCTGCAATAAGTTTGATGTTCTGTGGGAATGCAGCAGGAGCAGTGATGCCACCGTATGTAGTGTACAAAGCCGAGAATCTGTGGAGCACTTGGGTTGAAGGAGGACCACCAGGGACACTATACAACAGATCAAGATCAGGCTGGTTTGATGGATTTAGTTTTCAAGATTGGTTTAATCGAATGGTGCTGCCTAGGCTGAAGCGTCAAAATGGGAAAAAAGTTCTCATTGGGGATAATTTATCCTCCCATATCAGTCCAGATGTTCTGAAATCATGTCTTGATCACAATATAGCTTTCATATGTCTACCGCCTAATTCGACGCACCTCACCCAACCCCTGGATATTGCCTATTTCAGGCCAATGAAAGTCGCTTGGAGATCGATATTGAATTCTGTGAAAAGTAAAGAAAGAAGGCAGACATCCGCAACGCTAAGAAAAGATGAGTTTCCAGCACTTTTGAACAAACTCTGCTTTGCTCTTGATGTCAGGGGAGCAAACAACCTAGTTGCAGGATTTAAAAAAGCAGGACTTGTTCCGCTCAATAAAGAAGAAGTTCTCAGTAGATTACCAAGAACTACGAGTCATGATGATTCTGATGTTATCAGTGAAAAATTTCTTGAGAAAATTTCAGATTTAAGATCTTCTGTGGCAAAGGAAACTAAAACAAGAAAGAAGGTTCAGGTAGAACCTGGGAAAAGCGCATGTGAGGAAGATGTGGCATGTGAGGAAGACTTGAAAAAACGGTTTCAAAAAAAGCTCAAGCAAATCAAAATATTGAAGATTCAGATTCAACGGTTGAAATTGTTTCCTCAGACGATGAATGCGATGAAGCCTCTACTCCTGAATCATCCAACTCTCACTCTGTAGTTTCAACTGCTCATCACTTGCCATTTGAAGAATGCAACATTGGTGATTATGTTATAATTTCGTATGAGGGTGAATTATACCCTGGAATTGTCAAAACCCGCACAACTGACGGGTGCGAGGTGAGTGTCATGGAGAAGTCTGGATGTAACTGGAGATGGCCATTTCGGAAAGATCAGATTTTTTACGACTGGAGCAGCATAAAACGTTGTATCAGTCCCCCAGATCTCATAAATGCGCGAGGCATCTATAAAGTGTCTGAATTGAACTGAACTGACCTTTTTGCCATGATATCAACTGCTATGAATGAATACAGACATGTTTAATTTTGATTTTTGCAGTGCCATTATAAAATGGCCGATTTCGTTGAGTGTTCTAATTTTTTTGGGGTTTCTGTTTTTTTAAAAAGTCTCTGTGGGCCAAAGCCCACTGTAATAAATGTTTTCTTTGTCTCAGTATGGGTACAGCTTAATTTATGGGGAGAAATAGGCACTGGGCCAAAGTGGTACCGAAATTGCTGGTGACTTTGGCCCACCGTAAATTAAAAAAAATAATATAGAAAAAACAAATATTTTGGTTCAATGATTATGCACGACGTATACCCCCTCTAAAATGCATAGTTTGGACCCGGAATAGCAATTCATAGATTTTTAATATTCGAGATATTTTGACTGAAAGACCAAAAATGGGTCATAGTCACCCCGCTTTACGGTACTCACAGGATTGAGTAATTCTTGAGAAAGTCCGAGGCAGTTATGAAGAGCAAGGAATGTGACTCTCTGCATTCTTGTCATGATGACCTGTGTAACAGAAAGACATTTTAATTCACAAAACGCTTGAAATAAAGATTGAGAAAAAGCATGAGCAAACCTAAGTCAAGTAATAACATGATTAGCAATAAATTTATAGTAAAGTAAAAAAATAACCTATAAAATACTAAAAAACTTGAATAGATGAAAAGCTGACTTGACATATATAAATAACTAACAATAAAAGTTCAAAAATGACATTAATTTATTTGATATCATTTTTTTACAATTTGAATCTATTATTGTTGAATTATAAAAGTACAACAAGCCTGAAAATCTGTAAATACAAACTTGGCAGAGGGCATCTAAACAGGCAACAAAACGACATTACGGTTTTAATAACAGGAAAATCAAACAACATTACAATACACAAGAGGATAGAAACGGATCGAAAATATTCAAAACAAGAATCACACCTGCACCATCTGAACCAAAGCATCTTTCCTGTTTTCAAATGCAACATTAAAAGCTTTGACAGGTAACCTAAAAAAATAGGCAATATTCAGTTAAATAAATAAAATCTGAAAGTACTTGAAAATTTCTATAACATCAAATAGCTCTAAATTATTCCTGAATTCAATACATTTACTTCTATATATAACCTATAATATTTAATTGGTTCGGACATCCCTCAAATTTGCAATCTATTTTTTAATTTTGACAGAACGTCTTTGGCCTTGAGAATTTGCTTTATAAAATCTCACCTAATTACAGTGGAATCTTCTACAGCTCTTGCAAATACAGTTTTATAAGGAGCAGAATGGCCAGTTAAAACATCAAGGATACTCAACAGACTGTGAATGCTTTCTCCTGCTGTAGATTCACTGAGTTTCACCTAAAGATAAACAAAAATTCAATACATGTCAGTTGCCATAAGGATGCTTGAACAAGATAGCATGAAAGTGATGGATAAGAAGAATGGTATAGTCTCTTTCCACGAAATATTGAGTCTATTTATAAGCTTTCATTACATCATAGTCTATCTTCTTTAGACACAACAAGATAGAACTTATATAAACAGGAAATATATCTTGTTTTGTCTCAAGAAGTTCTGATATAACGAATATTGATCACTTATATGCTTGCTATTTCGTGGAAAGAGAATATATGTCATTTCTTATTTTTACAATTATTGATTAAAAAGGGATTACTCCAAATTTAGTTGTGCATTGTACCTAAATAATTATATTAGTTATTCGATGTCAATCCAACCTCAATGCGTGTGTTATCTAGATACTGAGGGAGCATCCATTTTTGAAATGATTTGGAAAAAAAAAATGACTTAGAGAGTAGTGATACAATAATATAGCAGGGTTCAATGAAATTTTCTGGGCAAGATTAATTAGATAGATATTAGGCATATGGAAATGGTTGAAGTGTGATTCAATAAAAATCGAATTTTCAAATACAATATTTAAAAACTGATTGCATGGTAAAAAAAACATTCGAACAAAATGATAACTGCCTTTGCTGCCTGAGTAAAGCAATTTAAACACAAGCCAAAATATTTCAAGTACGCCAATTAACCTTGTACTTTGATACTTTCCATGAAATCCAATCCCAAGGAATTTTAATTTGTTTGATCTGTCAATATTTATTCAGATTGCGTAACAACAAATAGACAAATCATTTTTTACTTAGTGGATAGGACTTATTACTACAAATTTAGTTGTGAATTGTACTTAAATGTTTATATCAATTATTTGATGCCAATCCATCTATAATGAGTGTTGTATAAATACTGAGGGAGTGGCCATTTTGTGAAAACTTATGACACTTATCCTTATCTTGTGGAATTTAATTTATTTGATCTGTCAGGTCTTTATTTACATTGCATCACAATAAATAGAGCAATATTTCTACTTAGTGCATGTCAATGAATAATTCTTTGAGGTTTGATATTATGCAATAACTATGAATCATAAGAAAAATATGACTCAAATCTTCCCAGCAACTCAGTCTTTATTGTATGAGAAGCTTATGTGAATGAACCACTTGTTACTCATGGTATAAGCTTATGCAAAACAAATGAGTCAGAATTCTAAATTGTTTAAATATTTTGAAATTTATTTGTATGTTAGCTTGCATAAAGAGAAGGTTGCGAGCCTTTAGTTGAAAGACAAAATGATTATTGGGATAGGAGTTACAACCAAACACAGATATGTTAAAATCTATATGTGAATGTACTGCCACTACTACAAAGATGAAAATTGAACCACTTCCAGTTAACACTGTCAGGGAAAATGCTTGGTGTTCTACGAACGAGATTCCACAGTTTTAAAAATGATTTAAAGAGCGGCATGAGATGCTTCACACTTCTACCCAGACTATGAGTAGTCACTTGATGTACTGATTAATTTGAGAAGTGAAAGGTTTGCTGTATTATCGCCTTTCCTCTCCCCCGGGATAAATATGTAAATCCTATTAAACTTTGGAATAAAAAGCCAGACTAACCTCAAGTCCATCATCCGATATATACAAGTTAATTTGTCCATCTTGTATCACGTACATATATTCATCAGGATCGCCAATCCGAAATAAATATTTATCTTTTTCTACTTTTAAAATCTCCATGTGACGACATAGTTGAAGAAATATTCCTTTTTCAAAATGTCCGAAAACTCTGAAAAACGAATAATTTTGCTTAATAAATTACACATGGATCAATATTTTACAGTCAACGGTGATCCTACTAAGAATATGTATCCTAAAAAGCGCTTTTTCTCGATACTAATAATGGGAGGTGATATTCTTCTAAAATAAATATGATGAGGAGATATTGAAATGACTTTTTTGCAAATGAAAATTGAAAAAACTGTGGCCGTTTCATGTTGGACTGATTTGTGTGTATTTTTACAGGTACAGATTTTTACAGGTAGATAACACACAACTTTTGTATGTCAAAAATACAAATTTCAAATTGTGGAATGTGATATTTTAATGAATGTGTCCAAATATTACTTGTTCTGGATTCGAGGCAACAAGGCAATAAATAACGAGCAGAACCCAATATACAACTACACTTGATTACCAGATTCTAAAAATCAATAAAATCACTAAGGGCAACTCCAATGTCAAGTATCATTAATTGACTAATATTGATTATATTTATTCCATGGGGATTTCATGTGCGGCTATGCAAGCATATTTCTAAAGAATTTTAGCATATACAAGCCCATGGATCTGGAATGATCAACTATATTGCTATTTCCTGGACAGGTTAGTTATATGAATGAATAATAGACGCTTCAGAAGTGTGTGTACGAATATGGAGGTAACTAATTTTGTTCGCCTACTATACATCAAGTTGTGCAAAGGGCTGAAACCTATGGGCAGGGGGTATATTCACTTGGCTAACACAGACAATCCCCAAACTCGTAATAGAACTAAAATAGGGAGAATCAGAATAAAATTAGGGCCTGACCCTAACCTGGTACACATACTTACAAAGTACCAAAATTTGGTATAAAAAATGAGAGCAACTTACTTAACACTTTGTAGCAGATACATAACTTCTTCTGGTAAATCCGGTTTTTGTTCTTCATTCAATATATCAGGTTCTAACATGGAGGTTGGGAGTTCTTTCTTTAATAATTTTGGAGGATCTTGCTTCACATGGAACATTCTTGAAAAACAATAGAAATTGTATCTCGTTGATTTTTTCATTTTTTTAAATCACATAACAGGATGATAGGTGTCGCAGCTCAATACCAAGTATAGGCTTTTCGTGCCCACCTTCACGCTGAAATGATTAATAGAGTGTCCATAACGTTTTGAAATTTTTTTAAATTGCAAAGGAAATTTATTATATATTGTTTTGGTCCTCACAAATGTATTAAATGATATAAAAAATACTTGAACAATTACTGTTTGAAAAACAGTTACAGTACAAACCTGATTAAGATATATTGAGTACTGACTTCATAACAAATTGAAATTGTTAAGGGACTTTATGGACACGAATATATTATTTTTTTGTATACTTCATCATGTACAACCAAGTATTTATTTTAAAATTTTAAAATCTTTACAGTAGAATTATAGCTTTTGTACCATTTTTTTAAAGAAAATTGAAATCGTTTTTAATATCAAATCAGGCAAACAAATCAAAAAAAATATTAAATATAAAAAATAATCAAAAACATTCAGGCTTTTGCTGAGGCAAGGATAACTGCAAGATGGCCGCTTGTTCTACTTGTCAGCAGGCCATCTTACAATAAATATTACAAAATACTTCGAAAATGAAATCACAAACATGGACCACATCGAAAAGTAAGAATGAGTATTACAATAACAAGAACATGGATTAAAAACAAAATAAAATATTTTATTGATGGGATATTTAGTTTATCCCATAGGTCATGATACCCACAAAGATGAAAATATTAGGGGGTGGAATCTCCCCTCTTTCATTTGATCACAGGTAGGCAAAGAATTCCGAATATGAGATTGTCTGTAATGAAGGGAAATAAATATGGGAATGAATTTTGTTTTTGAATACCTGAAAGCTTTATTACTAAATAAGTAATGATCAGGCAGTTATGAACAAAAACAAATCATGTTAGCGAAATAGTGGAACAATTTGTTTAGAAAGTATAAGGTTTGCTTTTGTATGTATGTATTTATAGTTTACACCAGCGGTCACGAACCGGGGATCCATGGCTTCCCGAAGGGGCCAAGACCAGTTAGGGGGGGCACAATGCTAGGTGCAAATTTTTTTTTAGAAGTATGGATAGATTATAACGGAAATATAACGGAAATAATAGGACAAGTGAACTATTGCACGGGATTTCTTCAAACTTGTAGAACAGGGGTGGACAAGGTTTTTGGACCAGGGGCCAACATTTTTTTTTCCACATACACTGGCGGGCCATGTAAGTATGAAGTTAAAAGTTACATTTTATGAACAATATTTACAGTGTTACAAAAGCAAAAGCGGAGAACAATAAGACTCGTATCAAAACTAAATTTAATCACAACAAACTCCTTGATCGATTTTTTAGCTGAAACATTTGGTTTTAGTTTGATTGTGGCAGCATCAGGCGAGCCAGATTGAATTACCCTACGGGTCGGATTTGGCCTACGGGTCGTAGTTTACTCATGCCAGTTCTGGAACGTTTCATTGGGGTCCTCTCCCTAAAAGAGATTGAAAATACTGCAATACAAACATATTCCACATACTTTTTAGCAAGAATAAGCATCCTTTCCCTTTTTCTCAGTCTTCTGCCAGACCTGCTGTATTCAGGTATTGATACACCTTCCTTAATTGCGGATGCTTGTCGTTGCAATCGACTTGCTGCATCTTTACCCTGGTGAGTAGTTTGTAAGAATTGTAATAATTTTGAAAGATGACAAATAAAAGATAATTGAAATGTTAAAAAAGAAAAAAGCTACCTTTATTAAGTAAAAAATGGCCTACGGAATGGGAGATCTCATTTTATGAAAGAGGATGAGAAAAAGATTGAGATTATCAAATATCACCATAAACCAGGAGCGTACCAAGGGGGGATGCAGGTCGCAAACCCCCATTTCAAAATGTAAAAAAGCATTTTCTGTATCAGACATAGCAATTTTCAGAGCTCGAAACGCTTTTTAGAACCTTAAAACTCTTGAAAACCTACATTTTACGGTTTCTAGCTGAAAATGCTAACTGTTAGGGTCTGACTTAGCAATTAGGAATTTCAGTACCCGCCTTTAACAATCTTGGCTGGAGTGAGATGAATCAAAGAAAAATTATTTACCTTTCTTAAAACTTTCGTGGCAAAAAAACGAACTTTATCTCTTTTGCGAAACCGTAACTGACGATTTTCTTCCAATTCTGGAATACGAATATCTAAAAGATGACAAAGATTGGATTAAGAATAGTTAAACTATGCAATATATAAGAATAAGAAAAAATATGTGCCAATTTTGAATATTGTGTGGCCCTCAAAACAAGTTTTGTAATTTAATTTGGTATGTGCGATAAATTTTTGTGCCCGCAACTACTAGATAGCCGATGTTGAATGAAGGCGCAGCATGCGGTTTCACCCAGTTATTTCTATCTGGCCCTTCTGTGATAAAGGTTGCCACACCCCAGCTCTAGAGCACCGCAGACATAACGATCCCACAGTGTACAAAAAGACAGGTTATTGTCATTATACATTATCAATGATTAAAGAGTTGTTGTTGACAACAACATTTTAGATACCAAGTACTTGCTGTCAGTCGGTAAAATTGGAATAAGTATTAGAATTAAGATTCACTAAAACTAAGTATCAAGAACTCAGGAACTTATTGACAAGATGGCGCTAGTGATACCTTTTAATGCAAAGTAATAAGCTGATAACATAAAAAAAAAAGACTTGGAAATTCAAAATCAATAGCAAAAGTGTTAAAATTGATGGGAGCTGCTTTTTTAAATTTACGATACAGTTTATTCATAGAAGCTAAGAGGGTTGGAATACTTTGCAGTTGGTTATTTAAAATTTTTGAAATTTTGCTGTCTCCTGTTATAAAAATAAGAAGTGTTTAGTTTATGATATGTAACAGTTGGAAAAACACACTTACCTGGAATTTTTATTCTTCTATATAAAAAGTGTAGTATTGTTATCGCTATGACAGCGATCGTCGCGGTAACCATCACCCAGAGGCTCATCTGTAGATTTTCAAAAACATAATAAACACATTGATAAGATTGGTATACGATAGCAAGTAAAGCAGTGTCCCATGCAAGTAACAGCATTCCTGGACGGCCAGAGAGTGACATTCTGATTTCTTTATATATTTATATATTATATTCTAAAAAATATTCTAAACATCACAAAAAATAAATCATAAATGAATGCTTAAATTTCATTTCAAATATATTTATGAGTTCTTCAATTATTTGCTCTGAATAAGTCTCTCCACAAATAAACCAATGTGGGGTGCTCCCGAAGTATGCGAACCAAGATGGCGGACATCGGAACGTAACATGGGTAACAGGTTAGGGTTAGGAGATAATTTTTTTTTAATTTTCCTTATTTTAGTCCTATTATCAGTTCGAAGACTAGCCAAGAGCCTCCTGTAGTATTTATACCTAAAATTATGGCCTAACCCTAACCTAGTACACATATTACATTCCGATGTCCGCCATCATCTTGGTTCGCATACTTCGGGAGCCCCCAATGTGGTATATGAACCATTTGACGTTTATCTATTCCACCAAATTCTTTTTATACACCTGGGATATGGATAGACAACAGGACTGACCTATCCTCCACTGGCCAAGATTTTTAATTTGGTTAAAACTTCTGGTGAATATTTTAATTACTTGACTATGATAAAAGAGTACTATTGTAAAAGAGGGGTATTTACCTAAACCAATAAGTTTATATTTTGAATTTAATATTTCAAAAATATATTTTTGGGATGATTATAGAATTCAGTGGTTCATTAAACTTTCAACACAATTCCACAAATAAAACTTTATAAAGCATTGCCGAACCAAAGCCAGACCTTTTCAAACAAAGAAAAAATAATTCTGAAATATTTTGGCATAATGAGTAGTTTTGGAGGTCTTCCATAACTGCCTATCTGAGGAAGTTTCAGAATACAATTTGTGAAATTTTGATGCAATTCTGAAACACTCAATCTAGCCCTTTTGATTCTTGCTACAATACAATACGAATCCACTAAAACAAAGACCGACAGAAAGAAGCAATACAACTAGACTATGCTACTCAAACCAACTACCGAATATTTTGAAATGGACAGAAAGAAAAACTGATCTATGCTCTTTATTACCCTGCAGAACCAATACCAGCAATTCAAACGTAATGACAATCAAATCAACTTGAAACCCCATTTATATATGAAGAATATTTATTTTCGAAAATTTAATAAGATAGGGTTTTAAATAAGTTTTGAAACAGCACACAATAAAAATAAACTGCGTCATAAAAGACGTAATAAACTGACTAATAATCACTATTCAAACCTAATAATTCAAATATATTTTTACTTTACATTTGACCAAGTTTATTCTGCACAACATACAACTGTTTTAAACACAGCTTACAGATAAGTCATATGCAAAACTTTTTATGTACGTACTTGTTCTTGTAAGAATAAAGAATTGCTGCTTTACAACATGATATCCTACTTTTTATGCAACTTAACAACAGTGTAATGAAATGGAGTTTTAAAATGTGTTTGTATAGATTCTTGATAAAATTCAAAAAGCGTATTGAAACGAACAGTAAAGACAGAATTACATAAAATAACATGTTTTCAGTGAAAATTGAAGAATATTTTTCTAAAAATATTTGAAAAATTATGAAATTAGATATATGGCGCAAAAACTAAGTCAGTGATGTCATATTACCTAGCTTCAATGTCATAATGCATCATTTGTGCCGCAAAGTACTTGAAATAAATAATGGTGAAATCATATTAAATATGTTATAAATTGAAATATTTGGTGTCACAGTGTCTGATTCAAGACAATTTGTCACAAAAATATGATTGTTTCCTAAAATACACATTCGTAAATTGGCTGTATCATTTGACTATGTTCAACCCAAATATTAAATGCATATTTTAACAGACTCTTAAGAGATGAAATAAAATCTATGGAGTGTTGAATTTGCAACGGTATAATATACAACCCAAGCAGCTCGAAAGAACAAGAGGTTGCATTAATCTATAATTTGAAAAGAACTGAAAACAAAAACTACTTTATGTTCAAAAATAATCATAAAAACTATCAGACATTCTTTCCCTACAGCAATAAATCACATGTGAACACTTCAACTGTATCTGGGTTAGTTCTTTGTAAAATTTGGATATTAAGAGCCTTAGCTCCAACATATATACGGTGTCCAAGAAATCTTAAATTTTTTTAAAAATGGCAAATGGAATTTATCGATACCACATATTCTTTGGCCCTCACTGATGTATTAAATGAGGTAAAAATACTTCAATCACTGATAACAATCACTGATAAAAAAAAAAGGTTAAACAACTACTGATTAAAAAACAATAAACCTGGTGGTAAGTTAAGATATATTGAGAACTGATTTCATAACAAAATTCAAATTGTAAAGGAACTTTATGGACAACGCTATTCTGAAATACCTAAATGCAAGGTCTAAGAATACCTTTCTTTATTAACTATCAGATAGACCTTCCCTACTGCAGTAAATCACTTCTGAAAACTGCAAGTTGTGACACAGACTGACTTTCTTCTCCATAAATAATATATGAGCCATGAAAAGCCAGTAATCAACATTGCAAACTGGGCGTAACATAGCAGATGGCGTGTAGTATTAATTACAGAGAAGGGATGTGATAGAACGGGGATGTAAAATGTTTCAACCTATAAGAATTAGAATTAGTGTTATCAGAAAAAACATTTTAGAGAAAGTGTTAAATATGTGATAACCTTATAGTGCAATGTAAGTTGAAGTGTTCAAAGATTTAGATAAGTAAAACTAGCAGAGAAATTTATCAGAACAGAACACAATTTCGCAATCGGGTAATTTTCATTGCTAAACTTAAGAAATGGATATTCAGTATTGTATGAGTAGAACTATGTATTGCCTGAATTGAGTTGCAATTTACAAAAATTGATTAATTATTGAATAATTTTCTACAGATGATATAGCAAAATAAAATGATATCAAAAATATAAACCAACTTAATGTTCACATAATCGCCTGACAATACCTGTCCTCAAGACATTCTACAAGCTTATAATATTACAAAGGAAATCAATCTCACATAATATGTTGTCTCATGACATGACTGTAGAAACAAGGATCCCACACAAATGTCTTCCAATATGAAAATATCTTTAAAATGATTCAATATTGTAAATTGTGACACCATCAATCGCCTCGTATAGAAGTGTCTATATTTTGTTCCGCAACCCATGAATATGGAAGTCCGAAATGAAGTAATTTTAAATTAAGGTAATAAATGGATAGTGGAATGAAAAATAAATAGTGTCAATGTGATAAGGATTGTTATAGCTCTTCTTACAAACATAATAATTACTGATAAAAGACTTGGAAACGACCACTGATAATGATTAGAATATTCACAGGGAAAGCTCTGAAATATGTAATTGCCAAGTTATACAGCTAGCGAAAATGCGTTTCCAAGAGTCTTGCCTCTCGAGCGTCTAAAAAGCTTCTTAAGCCAGGAAAAATTGCTATGTATGATACAGAAAAATCCTTTTTTTTTACATTTCAAAAGGGGGGGTTCACCCTTTTCTGAATTCGCCTCTGATGTGACCTATAACGAAATGACGATATCTGTTGAGAAATTACTTGATGGATTTCGATACAACTCTACCACAGAAATATTTTTGTCTCATATATACTAAATTGCTAAATTCTAAAACTCAATACTAAATTTATAAACATCTAAACTTATAAAATCAAAACTCGTATTATGTTACCATTATTCAATAAACAGCATTTCAAAATGACACAAGTGACCTAGAGTGACAATAATTTTGGACACTCCCTTTTGCAAATGTAATGATCAATATGTCAACAGTTATGGAAATTTATGTTTTTCTATGCAGGCAAAGAAAAAAAGAACCGGCACACGAATTATGACATAATATATAGCTTTAGTGATTGATTATCATGTTAGTATAACTAGGACATTTATCAAATATGTCAGTATGGGCATGGTCATACATGTTTCATGCTTAAAGAAAGCGTTTAGGATCAATAAAAAAGTGGCAACCGATCCACATGTTTTCCAGGATAGAATGACAGTTGGCGACCATTTCCTTTCGTCTGTTTTTCTATATTGTGACAGCATAGTCATATGATAAGTCATAAGGCTTTATAGAATTTCTGATGAGTTCGACTCCGATGTTATGCAATACTTTGGAAAGAATGCCATACAGGAAAAGTTGTGAACGATTGCACAAATTTTGCAAATGTTGGAAATGAGTTGTATTCTCACGTGGTTATGATGGAAAAATTAAAACTAATGCAGTAAAATTAAAACACTTCAAAATTTTATATGGTTGGTAATGAAAAAATCATTCTATTTCAAAATACAGATGGTATAACTATTGCTGAATGAAATGGGCCATTTTACGTCCATTTTAAAAATAAACAATTCAGAAGTGTTGTTTCAGCGACAAACTTAACAATGGATTTCAACATCTACCGGTACTAAACTAATTGAGAAGTTAGAAAACCATTCAAACTAAAGTATTCCCAAAGCTTGTTTCTATTTCATATATTATCGAGTCACTTTCCTGCAATTGGAATTGACAGTTAGTATAACTAGCAATGTAACGACCAAACATTTCAAAAATAAGTTGAAGATATCCTTGATTCAGTGAATTCTTCATTCAATGTAAACTTGTAGTTGGAATTTCAGATTTTCAGTTGGAATTTCAGATGTAAATACCAAATTAATATTAGATTCGCTCATCTACCATATCAAATGGTAGATTAATTGTAAAGAAAGTCAGAAACCCTTCTGAACATACTAAGATTATCAAGATTAATTGATCTGTGAACTGGCTTTTGAGAAGTGAAAATTTGAATTTATTAGCGCCTAATTGGGATTATGATATACAGCATTCCTAATCCAAAATATATGTCTGAAATTTTTATTTCTGACAAGTTAGACATAAGAACTCCTCTCTAAATAGACTAATTAATTATATTGCAATAATCACATTGAAAAACCCAACAACTAAGCAATACAATTCGCTGCAAATGAGCTGTCATTTTGTAAAATTATATTCACATGGACAACACATAGAATGTTGCATTCCATTTGCATTTCTCAATTTAATATTACTGCTCAAAGATTGAGTAATAATATTTTGCAAAACTGCAATTAGGCAAAAATATGAAAATTAAAGTCCAAAGTATGATCTGCAATCCTATCACATGGTTATATAGTCATTATGAGTAATGGATTTCAGTCTCTTTGTTGGGAAATTAAGTTGGTTGCATTCCAAGAAACCAGTCTGCTCTGGTCAAATAGTTATTAAGATATTTCAAACTAACGCACTCAGGTCAAATAAAACACGATTCTGACCTGATTACAAATGCAAAATAAAACACTTTATTATTTTTACTGAATATCAAACAACAGTTTGTCTGAACTGAACTAAAGAGGAAACTCAAAATGTTAATACGAGCATAAATTAGATATTCAAATTTCCATTTTCAAACTTGCACAAATATTGAAACCAAAATATATATTATAGAAATATCTTGATGTCCCAAAAATAGTAATTTTATTTAGAAATTTTGAAATAAACTATAATACTATAAACACAACTTGTCTTGCTGCCATGTAATGGGGATTTGGAGGGTAGAATTTAGAGAATGATTCTTCTATTCAAAACTTTTTCTTTATTTTGGTTTCTTACTGACAATATAGTCTAAAGAAATTTTTTAAAAGATTACAGTTTGACTAGTAAGAACAGGAGCCACCTCGAATAAGCTACTACTATGACATAAGACGATTCTTGAATGGATGAAAAACTTCTTTCAAGCCTAACCGACAGTTTTTCCCTAATAAGTTCTGTAGACTCAATGATTGATCATTCCATCCTTCAATATTTATTTATTATAGATATTTTGTTGTTGATTGTTTGTTTTTTGAGGTGACAAATAAAAAAACTCTCATGAATGTCTTTATTAAAGGCGACTGCCCTGAGTAACTAGGTAATGTAAAATCTGCTATCTGACTAACTCAGTACAACTTTATTGAACCGAAATGACATTCATTTAATGACTGGTGTTTTGTCACTCAAATTACGAGTCTAAAAACTCTCCTAAACTTCTCTCTCAACTATATTACATGAACAGCCAGTCAAAAGCATTTCTAATTACCTGGTATACCAAGCCCCCGAAAAAACTCAATCTTTTCTTTAAACTAAATTTCATGAACACCGAACACTTGAACACCCATAAACCCAAATTAACTGAAAAAACCAGTCTGAACAGGACAAGCCAAGCCAAGTCACAAGCATTTCTGATTCTTACCAATCCCCAAAAAACCTTGAACTTGTTTTTAAACTATATTTTATGAACATCCAACAGACAGTCAGCCACAAATAAATTCTCTCCAGTTTAATTCCTTCCGAAGTCAATTCTAGCATAGTTGCGAAACATTAAGTATATTTACTCAGGTTTGGCCCTTGTTGATTGAGGACAAAACAAACTAATAAAAGACATTTTATTTAGAAAGAAATATTGAAAACATGTTGTGACATCATCTGACCTTACCTTTTAAATAGGAATTTAAATTGTGGAAATTTTAACCAAAAGATTTATCAATTTAAAAATGGATAAAAAAATGCTATTTGGAACATAAATACGGTATGCTGGCATCTTACGTTGAAGATTTTGGTCTCACACAAAGTGTCATAAACTGAATAAGCAAAGGCCCCACTTCAGCAGTCCCTAAGGGCGCCACAGAGTAAAAATATAGGTATTTACAGTTGGGGAGGGGGGGGGGGAGGACACAATGCTGGCGCAAAATTAATTTTATTTTTCATTTATAAGAAAACTCCCCATTCTTCCTAGTTTCATTGTTTGATAAGAGATTTCACAGGGTGTTTTCACTTTGTTAAGCATAAATTGCTCAAACATAATGGGATTTGGAATCTACCAATCAAAATGACATACCACTGGAATGATAAACTGAGGGGCATGACTGCCATAAAATATTGAGAACCACTGCTCACTTTATTGCCAGTGCCCACAATGTCAACCTGTCCAGAGTGAAACAGAAAACATATCATGAACTAATGTAATGCATTAGAAAACATGTAAATAAGTTGTGTCAACCACAATTATGACCTACCGGTGTTTGCAACAAATAAGGCTCTGCCACAGAAAAACCAAGATAAGTTTAAAATGAATCAAAACTAGTAGTCAAGCTTGAATTCAACTTCAAATATACTTTCTAGTAGTGGTCGTTAACATTATGAAATTAAAACAAAATTAGGACAAAATCATGAGTGAATTTGATGATGACGGATTACAATAAACAGTTAGTTGAAGGAATGGTCGTATGGACCCAATTCAATTTGAATAGCATCCTCCTTAGAGGACAAATCGGCATGCTGACAGTAAGCTAATAGGTTAACCAAAGAAGGAATATCTCAAGGTCAATAAGGTCATTGTTCAATAATAAGAGGAGTGCCATCATCAGAAAACGCCCAGTGATACGCCCACTTAGATATTTATAGCATAGATTTGATGATTAATAAGTGAACAGATATTGAGAATTGTGTGACGTGCTAAAAGAACATCATTGACACGCCTCCATATGAATTGTGACATTCACCACAAGATGGGATAAGATTAACATATTTATCCTGGGGGAGAGGAAGGCTGATAAGACGACTTAATCATATGGCAAACCACATCCTCTCGTCTGATTACCAGTCCATGTCGGATATCGGATTAGTCAGTTATTTGTTTTCGGAATCATGGATTGATATTAAATAAATGGTGTTTGACTGCGGAATAGTGTTTGAAACTTTAGTGAATCTCACAGTAATAAAAGCATGACTTGAATGTGAAAAGAGAAAAGCAAAATTGCGGCAAGACTTTGTGAACAAAAAAAAAAAGATTTTAATAAAATATTATGGCTTTTTTTAAATATACTCTGAACTATCTTGTAGATAAGTTACAATATAGATGAAGTTGGATGTAGAATTTTACTATCATTAAGCTGTCGATTCCCTAAACAGATTTTACAAAAGACTAGGTGATTAAAGAAAATGAACTCGGTATATACAATGTGTCAAAGATCAGATGTGTGAGGTAATAAAATGGTAACAGCCCATTATAATTTCACACATTCTAAGTCTGGCGTCTGGCGACAAATGTAGTCAGAAGTTTATCCATACCATTGCAAGTATGAAAAGCTATCCAAAAAATAAAACGAGTTTGACATCCTAAAAAATTGTAAGCCATCACTTACAAACTCTACAAATATTGCATTATATTATTTCCATTGTTATAAAAGGAATATTCACTTACATTGTTAAGCTCAGCTGCCATGATATAATCTTCAATCTTCTCTCGAAGAAAAGAAACATATTGAAGAGACTTGTAATCCATTGCAGTCATTTACATATCCATCTCTACAAAGAAAGAATATGAACAATCAAAAAATGATAAGGTTGTTCATACCAAAAACAAGAAATATATGATATATATTAAAAGACTTTCATAAATGGTTTATTTGGTAACAATTTAAATTCAATTAACCATACAACAAATACTGTGAATGTAAATGTAAGTTTCTCAAAAGTAAGATTGGTGCCTCTTTGTACCCTTAAATGTCATTTTAACATTGTTTGTTCATACAAGGTGTATTTTCAATGTTTTAAAACTATTGACTTAAAATGCAAGTCAAAGAATAAATAAATATAAAGCCCTATAGATAAGCCTTGAAGCCTCATTTGAAAGTACCGTATCTCAGTATCTACTATACTGCAATACAATTAGTCAATCAGAAAAGTTGATTTATCTACCAAATCTAAAATTTTAAGCAGCAATCATACACAAAGCATCAATGAATCACAGTATTATAGGTTCAAGGCACCTTGACAAATGTTGCATACACAGCACACACGAATACCTGAAATATAAAACCGTAGTGATTCCACGAAATCGAAAATATCATCTATCGAAATTAGGAAAAAAATTGTGGTTCATACCATATCCTACCATCTAAACATACCCAGTAAAGAAGTGGAGTATAATGGTATAAGTTAATTTTTACTCCACAATCAGCATAAAAGACGATAAAAAATAAAAACAAAACAAAAAAATAAAACTTAGTCTATTACAGAATCAGTACCGTATTTTGACATCTAGCGTACTGATGAATTATTCTCACCTTAAAAATACGAAGAACTAAACCTTCCAGAATTGTATTGCAGTCTTCTATGCAATGCTTCCTTCTACCAGTATACTGAACAACAGTGGAATTTAATAAAGCTGCATCGCTGCAAATGTAGAAATGCCGACGAGCAAATAGAAAAACAACACCGGTGAATCGGCATTTCCTCTATCGATCTACAATTGCCAGACCTGATAATTGGAAATACTCAAATGGAAATTAATATCTAATAAAGTAATGGAATATATGTTCATTAAACAATTTTATATATAAAATCTATTATAATATTACACTATGTATTTTTATCCTTCAATTTACACAAAATAGTAGAATAAAAATAAGTTGTTCTTTTACGAAATGAGGAGAAAATTCTGGCAACGAATCAGTAACGAAAAGCTCAAGTGTGTCACCTGCTGACGATAAAAATGAGGCAAAACAACTCGCTAGAGGTCGCTAATATTTGTCGTCACGCCCCACTAATTAGCAAATTATTCCTACACGGTTAAAATGAATGTTCCCTCTCTTATTTTTTTCATAAAGTTTGGAAAAGTTGACATTAAAAAATTATTTTAAATGATATAAACTTTTTATTATTATTATTATTCATTATTATTATTATTAATATTATTATTACTGCTGAGCAATATAGACCATCAGTTTTGAATTTTATTGAATATAATATTGGTCAACAACTTTGTTTATTTTTTAATTTACCTACGAATAATAGTATAACTCATGTATTTTTTCCTCATAAATATTATGGAGCTTTAATTAATTTTATAAGACAACATAACATCACAGGGAATGATTATTGCTGTTTTGATTAAGGTTGCATTGTAGGCCAATACTATAATATATTTCTGTAGTTAGTGGTGTACAATAATGAGTGACGAAGGAGACGACGACGATGATGATGATTATGTGGAACTGAAGCATACGGTAAATATGAAATTCAACAACAGCCGATGGCTTGAAAGAGAACAGATTAAAGATTTAATATATACCGTAACCAAATTGGTCAAAAGACCATAAAGAGTATGTACATACTCGATAATAAAGTATGGCGAGTAAAATTTAAAAACGAAGAATCATTCCAAAAGGCATTAACAGATGGAATAAAATACAAACACAATGAAACAGAATACAATGCTGAAATTGAACAAGTTTTTTCAAATGTTACTAACGTAACAATAAGTAAGATGCCTGATGAAGTGTCAGATAAAAAAGTGTCAACTTTATTTTCAAATTTTGGTGAAATCAAAACAATAAAACACATGATGGATGAAGATGGAGTGGAGAATGGGGTTTTAAGGTACAAAATGATATTGCGAAATGAAATACCTCCGAAAATAAGATTGCCAAGTAAATATTCAGGCGAAGAAATATGTGTATACTACCCAACTAGACCAAGAAACATAAAGAAATTCGAATATTGGTGCTATATATGTCATTCTGTGGAACATGACGTTGAACAATGTCCAAGAAGACGAAAATGCAGATACTGCAATGGTGAAGGGAAGCCGCATCTCGAAAAGGATTGTCTGAAAAAAAAGAAAGATATATCAAACAAGGAAAATGTGGAAAATGTAACTGTCACAAAGGAAATTCAACAATCTTCAACAAATGGAATAAGTTTAAGCCAAAATAACAATGAAGTGGTAAAAGAGATTGGAGAGGAACTAAAAAGACAAAAAATACTAAATGCCAATTCTTCAAAACAGCCAAACAGGACTGCGGAACCATACACCAGTACTTCATCTAAAAACTTGGAACTGAAAAAAGAAATACTAATCATTGGAGATTCACAAGTCAAAAGGATGAAACCAAAGGTTAATCAAACTAAAGTGAAAACGCTTCATGTAGAGGGAGGGAAGTTTGCAAACTTGGAAATTGCTCTCAAAAAACATCAAGAGAAATATCAAGGAGTAGTTATTTATGCAGGAACAAATGAAATATCATCAAAACCATATGACAATACAAAAAAATGTTTGGATCGTTTAATTGAAACAGCGAAAGAAAAAGAAAAAGCCAGCGAAAGCCATTATTAAAAAACAATCAGAGGCTGCGAAGGTTGTATATATAGATCCACCAGAATGCATATCAGAGGACCGAGTTATCGACAGCTATTTCGAAGTAGACATGATTCATCTAAAAGGAGAGGGTGTCACAAAAGTAATTGAACAAATCAATAAAGTGATAAATATTTGTGGAACGGGAAAAGGAAATATTCTTAAAAGACATCATGAAAAGAGTCCTACTCAAACACTTAAACAAAAAAAGAAAGAACAAAAAAATGACAATACACAAGAATCTGGACAGACAATTCAAGTGGAAGAGTCACAATTAAATCCAGAACCTTGTGAAAACATACCGCAGGAAATAGAGGAAAACCCAGATAAAAACACACAACAAGACTGGTATAATGATTCCATGGACCAAGAAGAATAGCTAGTACGTTTATAATTTTTTTTTATTAGACTGTTTCGAATGTGGGGGCAAATTTTGGGGTTAGAATATGCTGTAAAATAATTAGTAATACCACATTCAGACATTGTGAATTTTACCTTCCAAATTACTCTCTTGACTTATAATGTTAATGGTATGAGGAATTTTGAAAAACGCAAATCAATTTTTGATTACGTAAGGAATATAGGAGCAAACATAACATTTATTCAAGAAACCCATTGTGGCAGTGAAACCGATGCAAAAAAATGGACAAAGAATGGGGGGGTAATGCAATTTGGACAACTTTTCTAATTTTTCTAGTGGGGTTGGGATATTGTTATCAAATAAAATAGACGCAAATTTTGATGATATACAGAAAGATGATTTTGGTCGATATATTTTAGTGAGATGGAAGTCTTTCGACGAACATTTTACATTACTAAATATATATGCCCCAAATAGATGTAGGGAAGAAGTGAATTCTTTTAGCATTACAAAACAAAATAGAAACTGGAATAAACCAAGACGCAAATTCCCAATATAGGATATATGTTGGAGGAGATTTCAACTGCGTTTTGAACAAAATCGATAAATACCCCAATATAAGATACAAAGAGGATAATAGTGTTAAAAAATTGAATGAATTTATTACAACATTAGGTTTAGTAGATATATGGAGACTAGTCAATGAAAACAAAAAACAATATACTTGGATACAAAAAAGCAACAATATGCAAAATTTAAAACTCTAAGAGTCGATTAAAGATCGGTGGTATATTTCGGCAATGCCAAACCCTAAACGTCATTAGGATTGAAATTCAAGAAACTGGCATGTCTGATCATCATCCGGTATATCTCAAAATATCTTCAATGAATGGTTTAAAAACAGGGACCAGGGGTACTGGAAATATAACTCCCAATTAAATGATTATGACTATTTTTGTCAAGGTATAAAAGCTATATTAAAAAATGGCATTTTGATATCAAAAATCTGGATGAAACTGAAAGAGGACATTACTGGGATAATTGCAAAAGGAAAATAAAAAATGGGCTATTTATTGTTCCAAAAAAAAAAGATGAAGAAACAAAAAAAGAAAGATTATTAATGATTCAATATAGGAGTGTTTACAAGAAATAGAAATATATGCTTGAAGATGAAGAAACTAAAACCAAATTGCGGGACACAGAAGCAGAAATTAAACAATACATTAAACAAAAAACAAGGGGGTCGATAATTCGGTCTAGAATTAAATGGGCAGAGGAAGGAGAGAAATCATCTAAATATTTTTTAATCTTGAAAAAAATTAGAGCTAAAACTAAAATGATCAAATCGCTAAGAAAAATGATGGGTATGTTATCCATGAATTAAGTGAAATTACAGGTGAAATTGTTAATTATTATATAAGTTATATAGCAAAGGATACTGGAATAGATATTAATATACAGGAAACGCTTGATTAATCAATTATGATAAACAAATAAACAAATGAACAGAAAGATTATATGGAAAATGATATAACGGATGCATGAAATTGGAACAAGCCATGACAGAACTCAAATTAAATAAAGCTCCTGGTTTAGATGGTCTAACGAAAGAATATTATTCTAGATTTTGCGACCCAATTAAAACCAATTTTACTACTGTTATGTACAAAGCTACCACAAAATGAAAGAAATGCCCAAGATACAAATAACAGGAAGTCATACTTGATATATAAAATTGGAGAAAAGGAAGATATAAAAAATTGGCGGCCTATCACTCTCCTTAATTTTGATTATTAAATTGATAGCTAAAAATAATTGCAAACAGAATAAAAAGTTATACTACCAGACCATAATCGCATCAACAAAACTTGCATTTGTTCCAGGGAGATTCAATTCACGAAATCTTATTTCCATTCGAGATGACATATTTTGGGCAAATAAGGAAAATTTACCATTAATTGTTTTGTCAATAGATCAACAAAAAGCGTATGATATGACAGACAGAAATATACTACTTAAATTATTAAAAAAATCTGGATTTGGAAAAAACCTCATAAATTGGATAACTACTTTGTATAAAAATGCTTCTTCAAAAATAAATGTGAATGGATATTTGACAGAAAAAATTTGGATGCAAAGAGGTGTGAGGCAGGGCTGCCCCCTTTCTCCATTGTTATATTTATTCATTTCAGAATTAATATCATCAAATATCAAAAAGGATAGAGAAATAATTGGATTTAAGAACTGCATAAATGAAAGAGAAGTTTATAAAGGATTTGCAGATGACATAACACTAACCCTTGAGTCATTATCATCTGTGGATTCAGTGTTAAAATTAATGGGATTATTCCAACGTGGGACTGGTCTTAAAATAAATAATAACAAATGTACACTACTGATATGTGGAACTGCTCGAAGTTGGCCGTTGAATGAAACCTATAAGGGTATAACTGTAAAACGTGAGGAAATTAAATTATTAGGGGTATATATTGGAAATACCTATAAGTCTAGAGATAAAA